CTCCCCCCCCCCCCCCCCACCCCCATACAAACGACTGTAAATTTTCGCTCGTTTAAGACGTGTGACTTTCAAACTTGGCAAGTTTATTAATTTTAAGGCCATCTTTCTAGTCGTGCCGACCGATTTTCCGTAACTGGTCCATCTAAAAAGTTTAAAAAACCGTGGAAGGGTCTGTTCCGGCTTAAGTTATTCCCTTAAACTTTCTTTGACAGCTTCCCTTGCATGGCTTGATTTTACACCTCAGTGGTGCACTCTTTCTGGACGAGCTTCCTTTGGTGGCGAGAAAATCACGGCGGAACATTGTAAAGAGAAATGTAAAGACGGATGCCTTGGTATGGAGTGGTGGGAAAAATCACGCAGCTGTTATGAGTGTACTGATCCCTCCAAAAAGACCGCGTACACCATATCTGTGACACTTACCTCGCATCGACGAAAAACCAGACTGTATAAATTCAGTTTTAAAAAAACAGAAAAAGAAACTTGACAGCAGTTATATTTCATTTTGTGGTGCCGCAATACAAGAACACAACCGTAGGGTACAGTTACGCACTTACGCTTTACCAAACCACTTTCAGAAGCAATTGAATTCCCCGTTTTTAATTGACCAGAAAATGATTCTTGCTAAAATACAAAAAACAAGGCGTTTTACTGTATTGCGATTAATGCCCCCATTAAAAGGCACAGCTCCTAACTTACACACCATCCATTTCATCTTGACCGAGCATGCGCTGTTTTCATTTTATTTGTTATGATATCTTTTCTTTCTCTCTCTTTACAGCAAGGCCATTTCTTAAAGACCTCAAGTAAGTTGCATTTTCTTTGATGAAAATAAAAGTGATAAAAATTAAAATGCTATTTTTATATATTTCCTAGCTAAGCAAAAATTTTTATACTGTTCTTTGAGGACGGTCAATTATTATAAGTAAATTTCGAAAAGTTCGTAAATAGCATATAGTAGCTGTTCGTTTTTTCCCTTGTTCTCACCCGGCCAAAAGGGATCCAAAGCTTAAGGGAGTTTATTCCTGAAAAAAAAAAACAAACACACGAGCAAAATAAACAATCAAACTAATTCTCATAAAGGGCGTCTATTAGACAGCGGGCGTTTATTAGAGAGGGGTGAATAATCCAATTTTTACAGTGTATAGAGGAGGCGTTTATTAGGTAAGAGGTCATTTATATGGAAGTGGGCGTTTATAAGGTCATTTATGGTATTCATACTGCTTCATATGTAAACTATTAATCAACTTCTCAAATGGGAATCAGACGGTAACAAAATTTACAACCGTGTATGAAAAGAACTTTCATTTCAAAATTATTAGCTCTAAAAGGGTCAAACACTAGTCAAACTAGATACCGTTTGTAAAAACAGCCGGTTTACACGGCATGCGTATAGAAGCGTCAAGCTAATGAGTTTTGTTGCCTTCCATTTTTCTAGCTTTTTCAAAATGGCTTGATTTTACACCTCAGTGGTGTACTCCGTCTGGACTAGCTGCCTTTGGTGACGAGAAAATCACGGCGGAACAGTGTAAAGAGAAATGTAAAAACCGATGCCTTGGTGTGGAGTGGTGGGAAAAATCACGCAACTGTTATGAGTGTACGGATCCCTCCAAAAAGACCGTGTATACGAACACTAATGACGCCGGTTATCCCCCTCACGTGTTCCTTAAGAGCCACAATTGAAAAAGATCTTCCTCTCCATGAAAGATGTTATTGATCGATAGATTATTCGTCACACTATAAAACTTAAAAATACAACGTTGAGGAAATCCTATGGTGTTACCATTCAAATGAATTCTCAGCGTCTCTCCATGATTCTGGATGGTAGGAAATTTTAGCTCGTGGAATCCAGAACCCTGGGCTTTGGAATCCGGAATTAAGTTCAAGGAATTCAGAATCATGCTAACGAGTGGAATATGGAATCCAAGTTCCACTGACAAGTAATCCGGAATCCACAGTGTAGAATCCAGAATCCAGGACTGTCTTGAATGACCTTGCACGGGGCGAAACCTCATTGGCAGAACTTTTGCATGCCGCTACTTATTTCTTAGGATTTTACAAAATGAAAGTTTTTTCTTTGACTAATAACTAGGAATAAAAAGGCTCATTTCAGCCTCATTTGCTCAGACAAGTTAAGTTTTCCCTGTGACAAGCTTTCATCATGATGTCAAAGATCTTCGAGTGAGCGAATCTACTTAATTTGTTCTCCATCAGGATTTATTAATTTCCGAAAAATAGACATTAAGCTGGTTTGCACTCTCATTTTAAACTACAAAATATGTAAAGTTTTTTTTTCAGCAATTTATTTATTTATTATTTAATTTCAGAAGCATTTTACGCTCCTGAGTTTCTACTTAGTTATCAGCATCATCATCATCGTCAGCAGCAGCATTAGAAATGATCATCATCATCATCACCACCGTCAATACCGTTACGGACACCATCGTCTTAATCAGATTTATAATTAAATCAGTCATCCTTGTTATCATTATCATCATCGTTTTGTTTTCTCCGAGAAAATTGGCTTTATTTGGAGTGACGGAGCTACTCCGAACGTGAATACAATCAAAACTACTACAACGAATTCAACCTGTAAGGTGTGAACGATTAATTGTAGTTCAATTTCGAGAGATTAACGACGCGACAGTGGTAATAAAAATCAATAGCATGAATACCGGTAAATACAGATGACTCAGGTGAATTAAGGCATGGGTTTTCGTTACATGCGGAGTTTTATGATTTGATTTTGTTTTTTTTTTCAGTATCTTCTTTAATTTTAACCTTAGAAAGCTTTGATTAAGACCAGAACCACTTTGGACTTTAAACACTACTTTCTTAAGATCACGTAACCAGTCACGAACATAATTATGCAAAATTTGGACTTTGCAGATTACACCACTTTAGTGAATGTGAACCCATCGTTTTTACTTCAATAATATTTCATTTACAGTCAAATAAGCTAAATGAATCGGGCTTTGCATTGTGAAATGATCTACTCCTTCGTAATTATTTAATATTTTTCTCTCGTCCCAGTCTCCCTCTTAGCCTCTCCCTCCCTCTCCCAGTCTCCCTCTTAGCAAGAACCTCTTAGCAAGAGAGGATAAAGGGGACAGAAAAGGCATCCCCTATACACACCCTATTCCATAGGTAATTCGTCTCGAGCTATTTTTAGAATCGGGATAAAGTTACCTCGCGCGCTGCGTGGATGTTTCGCATGACTAAACGCCGTGCAAAACATGTCGGGCGAAAGGCAAAAAGCGTAAAGAGATCGAGAGCATTCCTGAATATTGACGCGAAATGATTCGGCGCTCACCTGGGAAAAGGAAATCGTTAGGCTCTTTGGCAACCCGTGAAGTCAGTTTAACTCGAAGTTGTCGTAACCTCACTGCTTTAATAAAACGAGAAATTTCGCCGGTCTATTGAAACCGGTCGTTGTACAATAAAGCAAGTAGGACGCCAAGTGTTATTTTTGTTGAATAATAAAAGACTAATAAAAGAATAAATAAATAAACTGTAAATTATGAATGATCCTGAGAGAATATTCAGTGTGTTAAGGATTTCCCTGCTGTACGGTTAGCTCTATACAAGAGAGGAAGGGCGATTCTTTTTTACTTTCCGTTTCGCTGACACAGCTTTAGCTGAAATCTCTCTTTAGTCGTTTTCGTCGACAAAACGAATGACGAATAGCAATATCGCTCTCCGCGTCTTCCGCCATTTTGTTCTGCGTCAATTCGTGAAGGACGCGTGGCTCTGAGCGTGGATCATCCACGCGGAACACATTCCCGCTATGTGATTGGCTGTTGTCTAATCCCCCTTTGGATCTGTGGTCTTAAAAATAACTCGAGACGAATTACCTATGGAATAGGGTGTGTATGGGGGATGCCTTCTCTGTCCTAGCCTGTGAACAGGCTCCCTGTTTGGGGAAAAAAACGCTCGATTAAAGGCCTGTTCACAGGCTATATCTGTCCCCTTTATACTCTCTTGGTTATAGTTTACAAAATGTTGATGTAATTTAAGAAAACTCCGATTAATTCCAAAAACTCTGTGACAATAGTCATTGACAACAAACAAATTGAATTGCAAGTGTTATTTTAAAAGTTTTGGATTCAAATAAAAAGTCAAAAACGGGTGTGGCAGGTCACGTGCCAAAGATAACGCATTGGTAATAATGAAAAATGAATACTTATAGGAAGAAGGATATTAAATTAAAATTTTTATGCGAAAGGTAAAATCCCTACTAAAAGAGACCACCACCCACCAAATTTGCAGTGCCCCATTCCTTAATTCACCGGAGGATTGAAGGGAGTTGTTTTTTCTGCGGCATTTCAGTTCAGTTCTATTGCATTTCATTTATAATAGTCAATAATGTAAAAAGGATTGAAAGTGGTAGGTCCCATAGCGCATGTCTGTTTGAAATTTCTGGAAATAGTCTTCAGAAAAACCTATCTAATTTCGTTATTGTTTTTCCGGGTTTTAACTATAAAAAGTGACAATTAGGTCGCAAACAACTGGAAGCACAATAATTTTCCTTGAACTTCTGGTTTTGAATAACATGTCTTACGGACATATAAGAATTAAACATGACATATAAGAATTAAACCATTTTTTTAACACAAAGAAACCGGAAAACTTTAAAAATATAAGTTAATGTAGCTTTACTAATAAATATGTACGTACATATAAAGTAAGCCGTGTTTCATGACCGTTGCACAAAGAAAAAATATTGGTATATCTTTACACAATGGCCCATTAGGTAAGTAAAAACTCATTCAGAGCATTTAAAAGATCTACCTTTTAAGAAATAGAAGAACTTGATTACACGATTTTGAACCGACGATGTTTAATGACACTGTCCAACGCAAAGTGCATAAGCTCGCTACTTCAGCGCTTTTTAATTTTTAGTTTTTTTTTCTGTTGTTTTCGTTTTTGTCTCCGCAGTGCTGTATATACCCATTAACTCGGCGTCAAACTGGTCAGGCATATTTTAACCCTATTTATTCATGTCCTTATCCTGCTTTCAGCAATCCATTGCCTGTCAGAATTAAGTACACAGTTATGAATACACTTGTTTAATTGATGACTGTTTTCATTGTTAGATTCATTAAATGTAGAACTACTGAGTTTTTGCTACCTAAGTGATAGATGTTTTAATAAAAGAAACCTCTATCTCAGAAATCTTCGAGTTTCACCTATTTTGTCCACAACAAATGCATTCTTACGAGCCGTTAGCAAATGTCCATTCGTCTTTTACCTTACTGTTGCTGTTTGAAATAATTCAGGCTGCCAATGTGAGCTTTTACTTTTCCGTTGAAGAAAATCTCGCCATCGAAGGTTCTCAATTGAATTCCACTATTTACACGCAAGATGCCATGTCATGTGCTATGGCCTGCACCAAAGAAATGAATTGTTACACGGCAAATTACATTAAAGCGGAAAAAAAATGCGAACTCTTTGGGGAGCAAACGGAAGATGTCTTTAACAGCCAGGCCGCCATTGTATTTTTAAAAGGATGTTTCTTGATCAAAAAGGTAAGAATATTTGCCTTGCACCCGTGTTGTTATCGTAGAAAAGCTAAAATCAATAATTAATGTATGCACATTTCAGACAAAATTTTTCGCCTGTATATGGGCTGATTTGCAATTGTTCGGATAGATCGTCTCAAATGATTTCAATGTCGTAGAGCGATCGATCTGTAATACGTTGTGCACGACCAGCCCATACATGTATACACCCCCGTGAGTTCTAGCGAACGCCTCAATCGTCCCGGTCGTCCTTAGTTTAATCGTCTCTCGATCGATGGCATTTCTGAGATTACTTAGGCAAGAGAGGATAAAGGGGACAGAGAAGGCATCCCCCATACACACCCTGTTCCATAGGTAATACGTCTCGAGTTATTTTTAAGACACACATATCCCAAGGGGGATTAGAAAACAGCCAATCACATAGCGCGAATGTGTTCCGCGTGGATGACAATGGCAATTTCTGGTTTGATATTTATTCTTTTATTAGTCTTTTATTATTCAACAAAAATAACACTTGGCGTCAGGCGTCCTACTTGCTTTATTGTACAAACGAGCGGTTTCAATAGACCGGCGAAATTTCTCATTTTATTAGAGCACTGAGATTACGACAACTTCGAGTTAAACTGATTTCACGAGTTGTCAAAGAGTCCAGCAATACTCTTTTCCCAGGAGAGCGCCGACACATTTCGCTTCAATATTGAGAAATTTTTTTGGGGGAGGGGGAGGGGTGGTGGAGGGTAATTAAACGAGTTGCATTATGGTCTATATAGAATTGTTATGTAGCTGGAAATTTTTCCCAACGGAGCGTGCTCTCATTGGTTACTTTGAGGTCACATGACATGTAACATCGAAACTGTTTCCCGCCAAAATCTCTGAACGGGCAACATTGCAAAATCTATGACGTCACAGGGTAACAGTGCACTGTTTAATACCTGCGAATGTTGATCTCCGACCGCCGTTACAGTGAGGTTTAATGAATTTCCAGCTTCAAAATCTCCAGCTTTAATATAGCAAATAACTAAAAGACTGGTCTCTCGGGAAACAGTTAATTTTGTTTCCTTCTAATCCCAATGTCAACATTGAGATTCTCGTGAAACAAAGTTAACTGTCTCCCTCAGGAACAGTCATTAAGTGTTTTTATGGTGAATGGTCTGTCTCGGTTGCCAGTTCCTGCATTTGCCAGTTTTAACTTGCTTCATTTAAAGCGTTGTCCATTTTTTGTTTCTTGAAGTAAATACCCGCAAAGAATTGACTGTAGAAATAATATTTTAGTTAATAGTAATTGTAAAGGATTACTTCAGTATTTGGGAGGCTTTTTTTGCGTACTCAGCGCTTTTATGTGACTTTTCTACCAAAGTTACCAAACCAATTCTAATTAATGGAGGAAGCCTGATGGGAGAGGTTTTCCGTTATGCGATTAAAACGTCTTTGTCCCTTAATTACAACTTCACAATTTCTCTTGTCTTTCTCAATTTTAAATTACTGCATATTGGACAGAGGAACTATCAAACATGTCGACCTGCAAGCAAACTCGTATGCAAAGTGAGACTCACTGACAAAATACTTCTCTCCTCGAAATTTCCCGCCAAAAGCATATCTTGATCGCCCCAACGGCCGTAAACAACAGAACAAGTTTGTCGCTTGATGACTTCATTGCGGACACCAAAAAATATATAGAAATATACATGAACCACCGGAGCAGGGCTCTACTATCCACGCGCTGTGCGCGCGACAAACTTTAAAAGCGTCTGCTTCGCGAGGAAATATTTCAATTAGCATTAAGGGATTTTCTTTATTTTAGACTCAACTTGACGCCCCACAGTTACAAGACACACCAGATCCCGTGGGTAAGTTTCTTTATAGAACACATCAATTCGTACCAAAGAAAAGACCAAAGCAAGATTGCTTCTTCTTCAGACGCTGCTTGTTTTGCTGGGATTAAATTTGTTTGACAACGGTCACAAATAATGCATAGAAATTATTCGTGACTGATGTGCAATCATATCAAATGCAATATCAGTATGATTGACACCCTGCGATCAGAGCCTCATTCTTTCGTCTTGATCAAGGAGAAGAAACGGAGGTTCTGCCTGAAACGCGTCAAGCCTTGAAGTCGCCACAATCCAAACTTCTGGACTAGTCAATGTTGTTCCCTCCCGTCAAACTAGTGTTTCTAGTATGAGCATCCGTTTAATAATATACCGATAGTCATAATATGAGCTCCTTTTACCCGGCGCACGAGTATAAGGCCTGGGTTCGAAAATGTTTCCTAGCAACATGCAGCGCATGTTCAACAAAGATCTAACTCGATTCAAGCAGAGTTATTTTCAAGTACGTCAAAATCGAGTAAGCGAAGCAAAAGCTCTGTTGGCAGAATGTACGGTTGGCGCCAAACATTGTAAGACTGTGATAGAAAGTAGCCACGGCGTAAATTTATGTAATCAAATGAATAGACTCTCCCACGGTATTTTTCAACTTTTTACATGGACAAGTAAGGGAAAATCCGTTGACACAACTGGAGCGCCCTAAAACTAGTAAAATTGCAAAATTTGAAAGTGATTTGTTGAAAACTAAAGAAGATATAGTTCCTTAAAGTCGCTAAATTTTGCAGATGTTTATATGGTGGGGGACCCAAACTTGCCCTCCCCCCCCCACCTCCATACAAACGACTGTAAATTTTCGCTCGCTTAAGACGTGTGACTTTCAAACTTGGCAAGTTTATTAATTTTAAGGCGCTCTTTCCAGTCGTGCCGACCGATTTTCCGTAACTGGTCCATCTGAAAAGTTTAAAAAACTGTGGAAGGGTCTGTTCCGGTTTAAGTTATTCCCTTAAACTTTCTTTGACAGCTTCCCTTGCATGGCTTGATTTTACACCTCAGTGGTGCACTCTTTCTGGACGAGCTTCCTTTGGTGGCGAGAAAATCACGGCGGAACAGTGTAAAGAGAAATGTAAAGACGGATGCCTTGGTGTGGAGTGGTGGGAAAAATCACGCAGCTGTTACGAGTGTGCGGATCCCTCCAAAAAGACCGCGTATAAGCACACTAATGACAAAGGTTATCCCCCTCACGTGTTCCTTAAAATCTGACAATGAACTGTGTTCATAACAAGCTACGCTGTCACTAACAATAAAAACAACAATCATGCCCATCATTATCATCATCATCGTCTCACAAGTCCGGTTTTCTGAAAGAAAAACCCCTTGAAATTGCAAATTCATTGCAAATTCAGGAGTTTGCAATGGTGAATTGGCGAACAGAGCACCTGTTAGCCTATGGGTAGGTTCACTTAAGTGGTTCCATGGAAAATTTTGGCGGCAGAGCTATTTTACTCCCATTAGAAAGCACAACCCGGAAAAGCTTCAGTATCTATTCCCCCCGTACCCCTACCCCCGCCTTGTGCACTTTACCCTTTACATTTTAACTAACACCGCAGATAAAGAAAGAAGTCTTGACTTGACTTTTATAGCAAATAAAGCTTTTATTTAGACCCTCACCTAGCTACAAAAGCCTCATTGTACAAAATGATTGATTCCTTATTGTAGTTAACCTAACAAGTTAGTATTAAAATTTTACAAAAGTGGACGGTATTGTACAGAGCTCCCTAGGAAATTTTCACGAGCTTCCCGCAAGCTTAAACATGTACAAGATGTGGTTTGTCTGGTTGATGAGTTTATTGGCACTAATGTATACTGCCTCCGCCCTGAAAAAGAACAATGACAATCAGAATTACGTAAGAAAATGATGTTTATTAACCCTTTTACTGTTAAATGTGGCCATAGGCAAACTTCGACCAAAATTCCAAATTTCATTTTCTAAAGTTTTGACAAACAAATAGCATCATGTGAAAGTACAGGCATAGAGCTTTCATTTGAATGGTCACATCATAGGATTTCGTCCACAGACTCAAAAGGTAGAGTCACCTTACAAAACTCCATCAAGCACTTTGGCAGTGAAAGGGTTAAGTAAGTGACGAATGGAAATAATAAGTACTGTGGAACCTCCCGTAAGCGACCACTCAAAATTCGAAGATTCAGTGCTCGCTTACGGAAGGTAGTCGCGTACCAGTATCCAACCAGAGGTTGGATCTCTTTCTAGATATCCGAACACATCTACATTTTGGAAGAAAATTCATTGCGTGCAATTTTCAAGTTGCGATATGTCTACAGTTTCATGTTGTCACTAAAGGTTCATCTCATACTCGAGTTACATTCAGCGAACAAAGAGATCAAACTATGCCTCAAGTAGTCGCTTACAAGAGTATGAAAACAATGGAAATTCTGGAACTGTAAAACAAAAAAGTGGTTACGGTCGCTTTCGAAAGGTGGTCGTTTGAGAAAGGTTACAAATGCAGTGATTTTGCTGGGAAAATTTTGGTGTTGTTGATAAGTGGTTGCTTATGGGAGGTGGTCGAACATGGAAGGTCGATCGCAAAAACATGAACTATACACTAGGGGCGCTTTCCAAAAATCTAAACTGGATTGCCGGACAATGACCGAACCAGTCATTTTGACAAGCAATAAGCTTTGTCCGAGGATTTTCGCAGAAAGCCTTCTCCTTCGTGCACGCTATTTATGATTTGACTGATGTGGCTGGATAGTTTTGATTAAAAGTGAAATTCTCATTACGACGTGAATGGTCTGGCCGTCCGGCTCTGGAAAGTGGAAAGCGCCCTTGAATTAAACACTGCAAACACAAACACGAGTGATAAAAAATGATAAATTCAAGAAAAAAAATTATCTACCACAGTAAAAGCAAGTTAGTGCACAGTAACAAAGGAGGGTCTCGTTTGCATACTGAAATACAACTAAATGTTCACGTCTCTTTACGAACGTTACTAAAACGAATAACGGTTAACAAGCAAGGGGAACGGGATCAGAACGGGAGCCCTATCAGTAACTTCATCTCCAGTTCTCTACTTTACTGGTTTTGGTAGTAATGTATAGCTTACCTTTGATCCTTGAAGTACTGCTTTAAAGTGTCACTAAAATTTTTAGAATATTTTACAAATTCTTTCTTGTTCCTCTCCAGACCCTAAAGAGAGATAAAACGAAAGATTAATAAACACAATACAGTAATACGATTAATGTGTTGTTTTAAGGGCTCGTTTACCGTTTTTCTCACTACGTTGCGACCGAGGAAGACCTGCAGTAGGCGGTCGAAAAGTCTCGATCAACAGAGCGTTTTCACTCAGCACGTGGCCAGAAGTTTCGTAAATTTGTTGGAACAAAATAAACTTTTTTGGCTAAGAAAAAGCTTCAACTCCTACAGGACCGGTTTGCAGCGTTCGTACCGTTTTTTGAACAATAAATTTGAGAACTTTTCAAGGACATTCAAGGCCACATTTTCCATTTTTCAAGGACTCCATTCAGTGCAAAAAAAAGAAGTTAACATTGAAATTCAAGGACTTTCCAGCACCGACTGCAATTTTCAAGAACTTTCAAGGCCTTGAATTTTTATTTTAAAATAAACACAAAGAATTTCCAACAAAAACACAGTGGGAGGTGTCCAACATCATTGGTGAGAAAAGGTAAGCATTTATACTCCTAAAACTTAGCATACCTCTTTATACTGAAGCATCTTTCCAACTGATTGACAGTTCTTAAACACCTCGTTTACGGCATCAAGTAAGTCCTTAATAGCAGTTGCAATATCCCTAAAGAATTGGAAAAACTTTACTAAACAGACAGCCCTGAAATAAGGCCTTTAAATAAGGCTTATTTAAAGGCCTTGTGTCACGGTTGTATGTTTCACTTTCATTCTGTTCAAGTACGTACGTCAGTATTTGCTATGAAACTTGAGAAATAACTTGTGAATGACAAAATCATAGCTTTGTGTCAAACAAATAATTATGTCTCCCAAGTATTATATCAAAAGTTACAAACAACAAAAATGAAATTTTGTAAACTGTTAGGCTATTAAGTTTTCAAATAGCACAACTGCCATCTGTTTCAATCTTCTTTTGAGTCTGTCCATCTGTTCCTCATTTTGTTTTTGCTGTGTCATTTATGCCCTTTTTAAATGTTTTGAGTGGATATTTTTTATCTTTCACTTAGATTGGTAGTGGTTCCCATTACTTCAATTTTTAATAATATTATCTCATGACACAGCTCCCATATAATAACAACAAGGCTCCACTGTGAGAGGATTAGCGTGCTAGCAAACTCTCAGGTGGGGAAGGGGGTGGGGAGGGAGTGTTCCCAACCCCACCCCTGAAGGCACTAGCACACATCGAAAGATACAATAAAAATAACACTTAAAAGTGCAAATTTGGGTAATGTATCATGCAAGCATGGTTGACAGAATGGCACATACTGTGCATCAGCTTCTCGAAAATTTGATTACTCAGCACATGTATAACAGAATAGTTAGTTTCACAAGACCTATTTCCATTTGTTTGAGAATAATAATTATTATTAAACTTAAAAAATTCAAAGCAAAAGCTACATTTTGGCAAAAGCTGCCATATGCACAGTGAATTCCAGGGAAAAGAAAACTGGAACAGGTGAAATTTAGCCTGCACATTGAACAGTATTGTTAATGGTATTATTGGAGAGAAATCTGTCACCCTTTCTCAAATTCTAATTCTAGAATCTAGTGTTACATCAGGAGTCAATTGGAACCATTTTCTAGACACCACTTCAATAATATTGTACACATGGCTACTTACTTTATCGTTTGTAGAAATTTTTGTCTGTTACTAATTTCTGCCGGTATCTTGGATAAAATGGCCTTAAGATCTACAAAAAAGTTAAATACCATTTTGAATTAACGTTTCCACCAAGGCAAGTACAGCTTTTCTGTAGCATTAAACCTGCTTGGTTAATTACATGTATACTCATTTTCTTCTCAAGTCAATGATTTCTATGCAATCTACAACAAAGTAATTATGGATTTTTTTTGTGTTTTTTCTTTCAGACACTAGCTCTGAAGATTTCATATAACAAATTACTTATAAAGTTATTTGTTAACTTTGTCTCTTGTGTGGATCAAAACAAAATTAATTCAATTTACAAAGTGCAGTGTAATTTCTAGGATTACCCCCAAAATACATGTATTACTTCTTAAATATATTAAAGCTTCCCTTTCTGGATTTATGGAAAAAGACATGTATGCAATGAAGTAAAATAACTTGTCAAAAATTAATAACCAAGAATTATTCTATACTGCTTTACCTTTAGCTTTCTTCGACAATGCAGTAAACTCTGGCTCTTTGACATCAAAAGTATAATCTGCATAATTAAGTAAATTAGTAATCAGAGTATATTAAAATGAAATGTGTATTGGTCAAATTGTAGAGTCTGTGGTCACATAATAACAGAGGTCAACAGAGAAATTTAGAACCACATTGACTGCAAAATATGTAACAAATTTCTACTTGTACCATCTGATGAGACCAAGTTTCTCATTTTTTCCAAGTCACATGTTAAACATCTCTTATCAGACTATTGAACAAACAGAGAGATGTACACAAGATAAGGTTGGTCTCACTGCATTGAATGACCGTTTACTGGTCAATGCAAATCCATGGTGACATGATTATCAACTGGAGGATTAAACTCGAAGTGGGACTGGAACCTGTGTCACTGACTGAAAAAGAACATCATTCTTGTATATTTATCAGGTTTGAAATTCACTGTCACGTAAATTACAAATGCGCACATGCCACCTACCTTCACTATTATTCGAAGCACTAAGAAGGAGAATTTCATTCATGTTTACTGACAATGATGCTAAAAAGAAATGAGATTTTTTCAGTTAATATTGATGAATGAGGAACTTGTTTATACATGTACTGATAAAATTAAAAAATATTGGTTTCCAATGGAATTAAGGGTCATGGTGCCAGTTGTACATCTTTATGGTACTATAATTCCATTGGCCCTAAATTCATTTTTTTCCTGGACAATCTTCACTTGCCAATATAGCAAGGCATACTTGAGATTTCACTGCAAAGTTTTGAACATTTAAATGCCATGTATACATGGTTGATAAGACCCTTTGAATTGCTGCTCCTTCTTGACCCAGAATAATATAATACAGTACAATCCCACGAGTAAGAACCTGGTTTTTATGAACCTGTTACCCTAAAATTTGCCAGTTAGGCCCCCTCCATACATTATCAAAAACTTGTTAAGCCTAAAATTTGAAACAGGTTCTAACTTTCTAAAACCTATGAAAAAAATTCTGTACACTTGGCCAAATAAGATAAGTCAACATTGAGGATCCTATTTGGAGACATACATGAAGGTGCCTTATCATTCCAACTGCAATGTCATGGTAGGCAGATTTTATATAAGGAATAAGCTGAATACCACTACATGTAAATACTCTTAGCTACAATAAGTTATACTATTTTTCTTCAGAAAATAAGAATCTATTGAAGAACCTATATAGCATAAATTTGTCCTAATTGCCACTTATATAAGAACCTGTTTAGGCTAACTTTGGAAAATGCAGGTTCTTACATGTACTCTTGGGTTCTTAATGTATAAGCACCTCGGGTAATAATTTGTTCAATGAATTGAAAGTAAACAACAATGAGCTTAATGCTGACAGGGGTTTGTGGTAAAAACAGTGGAATTATGAAAAAATTTATTTTTCACAGATTAAGATGATAAGTTACCTGATTTCAAAATTTCTCCAACAATCTGTTGTGTAACACCTGGTATATCTTTTTCAGCCTGAACAAAGATATTAAGATAGAATCCATCAGGAAATTGAGTAATTTCAAACTTCAGTGAACAAAAATCTTGTACCAGAATAATATTTATTTAAACAATACCGCATTCTTTTTTACATTTTCAAGGGCTATAGATATAATATATTTATTATCTGTAATAACAAGAAAGACGATTTCTCATGGGAGCCCAAAAAAATAAATGTCAAATTTCACAAGAATTAGGAAAGCACAGGTAAAATTCTGAAAATTTCATGAGTATGATGTCATTTTGCGAAATCTGACATTCGTTTTGTCGGGCTCCCATGAGAAATTTTCTTTGGTGTTATTACAGATAACTTATTACTTCTATAGCCCTTGAAAAATGTAAAAAATAATGCAATATTGTTTGAATTATTATTCTGGTACAAGGTTCTTGTCCACTGAAAATTAAAATTACTTTTTTAAAAAATAGCCAGTGGTGAAGAGTTTAATTTAATATTTGACCCAGGGCTGTCAATAAGGGTGGGTAGCAGGCCAAACCTGCCGGCTAGTTAGCCATCCCTAGCCTGCTACTTTCATCTCCTTCTATCATAACTGCTGACAAAATGTAAGCACCATTAAGTAAAATTGTGAAGCATCCATTACTTGAATGACATTTAGTGTATATTTAAACAGCTTTAGATGTGCGAAACGTTTGAACAGTGCGATGTTGTAGAATGCCTGAACATTTTGATTGCATTGTTCCCAGTTTTGAGTGTATTCTCACGAAACAACATGGTGCCTGTGGTGGAAAATACCCCTTGAAAACCCCGGAAATGGCATTTCCCAGGCTCTGAATTTCAAAAGTCCCCAGATACCTCAGCCCTCAAGAACTTGTGCCTTTGGTGTGAGTTTCAAAGTCACCTACTATTCGTTATCAGCCTGGTACTTAAAAACTTTTTGACAGCCCTGAATTAACCATTTCTAACCTTGGTAAAAGCAGCTCGTAATTTTTCAACAGCCTGTGCATCAAAGGATGGTTCCAGCTAAATGCAAAAGAAAAAGGGAAAAAAGACATTACAAAAATTATGTTAACAACCTTCGCTGTATCTAAAAAATGGGATACAGTGTAGCTAGTCTTTTTCTCATTTGAAAATCTCTATAACATGATACTTGAACACATCAAAAAATGGCACTAATCATTATTATCCATAGCGTTAAACTCATCACCAACAGGTGAGCTTGGGTGCTGGTGCATTAAGTGGATGCCCCGTATTATGCCGATGAATGTTTCTTCCTACGTTTTCTGTAAAATAACCTCCATTAAGAGAGCACCTTCATGATACGGACAACAGCAAAGGTGTCTGCTTGATCAAGGGTTTCATTGTATTTTTATGAACAAAATTCAGTCAAGAAAAATATTAAGACGGAATCCAGCAGGAGATTGACTGATTTTAATTTTTAGTGGACAAAAGCCTTGTGCCAGAATAATTATTTTAAGCCATATTACATTCTTTTTATGCTTTTCAAGTGCTATAGATGCAATTAGTTATCTGTTATAACACCAACGGCAATTTCTTAAGAAAGCTAAAGAAGATAAATTTCAAATTTCACAGGAACTGAGAAAACACAGGTAAAACCTTCATGCATAAGATTTCATTTTGTGAAATTTGAAGGTTTTGAAGTTTGTTTTCTTGGGCTGAGCCAAAAGAACCTATTCTTTGCAGTTATTTCATATAACTTATTTCATTCATAGCCCTTGAAAAGTGTAGAAAAGAATGCAATATGCTTGAAAATATTCTGGTAGAAGGGTTAGAAATTAATACTACTCAATTTCCTAATGGATTCTGTCTTAATTACTTACTGCACAGCATCTCACATGGGCATATACTAGTGCTTACACACTGTTCTTTACAATTTAGAAAATACGAAATTAAATACAAAAGTTCACCACGCAAGAACAGTGAAGAATGACAAATTTTCAGCTTACAAGTTCATTTCCTGATTCCAATTAATCTCCTGATTCAAGTTCAATTTCTGACTTGCCCAGCACTCAAACAAATTATAAAGCACATTTCTTTGATATGATAAAATCATATCCAGTAGTTACCCTCAACATCTCCTTAAAACAAGCACGGACAGCTATCTTTCCTTGACGGACTAATCAATCAAACTAATGTCTTCTAAACGACAACACCCAAAATTAAATACACCATTTTCAGCCGGACACCACCTGGAAAACGGGTAAAAATATGCCTTAAATTGAGATATTTAATACAATACCTCACGCAGCGCTGGCTTTACGATCGTTTCCAGTGCCAAATTAGGCACTGGTGTACTCTCGTCACCACCCAGTGCCATAAGTTTCAACGTTGAATCCTCACCAACTCGAATGCTTGACCTTCCGCCATATTTGAAAACCGATGTTTACCCAGAATGCCTTTAGGCTCACGGGGGCTCATGAAGACTGGGAAGCAGAGTTTGAGACATCCACAATCCCTAGCGATCTTAAACAGGCAACATGGCGGACGAGGTGAGGTGCGAAGTTTGTAACAAAATTAGTGCTAAATATCGCTGTCCAGGTTGTTCAAGACGGACATGCAGGTAATGCAGTGTACTTGAAGGCTGATATTAATTTGCGATGTCGTGATTAATACCACACTGAGTGTTATTTCTCGTGTCTTGTTTTTGTCAGCTTGGCATGTGTCAAATGCCACAAAATCCAATTTCAGTGCTCAGGGATTCGCAGCAAGACAAAGTTTGTGTCAGTCGACAATTTCACAGATAGTAACTTGTTATCAGGTAATGGATCTTAAAAAGTAAACGGCTATTTCAAAATATAAACGTTTTATATAGAAGCATACTTGTACACCATGCACGTGTGTAAATGGGTTTGTGTTTAAAATTTAGATTACAGGTTCCTGGAGGATGTGGATAGGTTGGCTTTTTCAGCAGCACATGATGGCCGGAAAAGCTGGAGACGCTGGAGTACACAGGTGGGGCTAACTTCTTTTGACATAGCCTGAGATAACAGCTGACATTTTGGGATGCCACCACTGGTCTGAGCTCTGAGGAACGAGCACAAAAATTCCGTACTGATGACTTGTTGCTACCCAGATTCAGGGCTTGAAATTAGCGCTGGCAAACTCACAAAATGTGAGTGAGAAAAATATCACTAGCAAACGTTTATGAGTTAGAATCATCCATGTCTCCCAAACAAAAGGAAAAAATTTGCTAGTGGAAAAAAAATCTTCGTAGCAAAACTTTGCAAGTGCACTAAAAAGTTAACTTCGAGAGCTGTGATCTGGATAGTGCTTCTGATTGGTTGAAGCAAACTCCCTGACCTCATGACTAATCAGAAGCACTATGATCGATCTGGGTAGTGTCACGTCATTAGCTTGGAATTTCTGTGCTTGTTCCTTAGATGGGGGGAAACCAGTGGTGGTACAGTCACTAACTGCTTGCTGTTTTCTCAGGCTACTTTACTTACAGCTGTACTATATACTTAACAAAGGGAGAGTAGGGTAAGAATCAGAACACTTCATGAGAGCAGCGTGAATGAAATGGCTTAACATTAACAGAAAGACTGTAAAATTCCAAAAGACCCTTGAAAAGCTATTCAAGCAGTCCTGATAATCTCCTGCCAAGGACTGCTGGCCAGCGATATCTTAGGGTTAAATTAGCCTATAATTTTTCATTAAACTGCATTTAAAGTCATTAACAAAGGTGAGTGTGAGGGAAGGTGTAGTAAAGGCTGTAGTATCCAGGAACTATGGCGGAGTGCAATATGTAACCATGACAACCCTTTGATCTTTGAGCTGATCTTTCATGTGTTAAAAGATTACTCTCTGTAAGATGATGATATTAATCGTTGTAAACCTCATACATGTAAATTCACAGACAGCTACATTACCTCATGTTTTAGCATGGGATTAGCTGTTTGTTTTGTTTTCTTCTGTACTTATTGATTAATCCACTGTTTACTAGATTTCTTTTCTTCGACGAAAAGCTAAACAAAGTGGAGTAGATTTGAAGTTAATGCCAGTGGGAATGTCAAAGAGAAAGGAGAACACATCAAAGTTCTGTAGAGAGTAAGTCCTCATCAATATACCAGAAATTCACATTAGTGGTTGGTCAACCATTAATATGAGTTTGTGGTAATATTAACATTAATGTATAGATTTAACAAAGCATAAAAGAAAAACTGGCATAAAATCACTAATCACTTGTTACTTGACACTGAATATTAAACAGGGCTCAAGATATATCTGAGACTGTTGACTGGCCAAAGAAATTTTAGCTTGGTCACCTCCCTCTTCTGACCAGTCAAAATGTTAAAAGTGACATGAAAATCACTTGAACATACCAGCCTAACAAGCAAAAACTTAATTTACAAAAAGGATACTTGTTCTCTTGAAATGTTATGTTGTCAAAATGTTTTCTTTTTCTGGTCGCTTGTGTAGGTGTCTGGACAAAAAGACTGGCAAACTGAAAGTACCTCCAGGCAAATGGTCTTCTTGTCACATTGTCTGTTGCCCAACTGTTATTAGGGAGCTTAAGCAACCACGACAGTGATGACGATGACTATGACAACATCAAAAAATTAATTTTTTAGCGACGTTTTCATTGTCTTCATCGTTGTTGCTGCTTGAGCTCCCTCCTTTGTGTATTTTGAGCCCTGCAGCCACTGCCTGGTTTATCTCATTTGCCTGTTGATAGGTTCTGCTGGGGGGAGACCCAACTTAAAACCCCAACTAGAACACAATGTTATCAATCCTTAGTATGATACCAAGTAGTGTCATTATAAATTACCAGTAAATCTTAATTCCAACCTTCAGTTTGTTTCAGGTACACTTAGTGTAACAATAATACAGTTGTAGCGAAACTAATTGATACAACTGTCTGTTCTTTAGATTGCAATGTATAATGTGGAGAATCAGATGGCTATTCCCCCAAGCTGGTTTTGAATATGTTGATAGAGGGTAAGAAAAATGTTCCCTAAAATTAAGGGTGCTGTACTGAAAATCATAGTGCAGTCTATGTTTAATCAATAATTATGAAAGCTTTATTCCTGTATTTTTGAAAGCATGAAAGTTTACGACTGCCAAGCATTTACCTTTTATTACTGTGATACAAAGTCATAGCAAAAAACCATTTCTTGTAAATTGATATTGAACCATAATATGCCTGCCAACTTTTCCTACGTGTAAGTAATCGCCGGACTGGACTGGACTATTTTGGGTTTAGATTAAAATCAAATTTTGATTTTAATTCGTTTGATATGGTCACTGAACATTTCACCTGGATTTGTGAGTAATGAATGTGAAATTGCCCTTTAAGCATGAGATTGACGTTTTCAATCTGCAGGTGTGTGACACGCATAATGTATGTGAGTTGGCAGGTATACCATAATAGTACAACTATTACCCCTGTTCATGGTTATTGGTGGTCTGACAGCCTAGCCTTCGAAAACATCCATTTCTCCTCGCTCTTTGCCGATGGGGACGTTTCGCGTGGAGGAACGTCTGCGACTCAGCGACAGAAATTCCATGATGACGTAAAATCTGTCCGGAATCCGGTCAGAAGGGCTGATTGGTCAACGGAGCAGTTACATTGTTTTGGCTATTGTTTACGAATGACAGACAAAAGACAAAAGGCCACAAAGGTCAAATGTAAACGCGAAGAATCTCTCACAAAACAGTTAATATTTGTGGAATATAGTCTTCTCTAAAAGAAGCATTTGAGTTTTGCTGGAGCTCGTTGGTAGATGAACACAACAATTTACCAAAATCGACCAGAAGACAAGTAAAATTGGACAAATTTACATTTGAAACCCCATGACCACTGAATTTATTATGTAAACATTGGATTGCGTCATCAGTATGGAATTTCTGCTGCTGAGGCGCAGGTGTTCCTCCTCGTGAAATGTCCCCGGCGGTGAAGAGCGAGGAGAAATACATGTTTTCACAGGCTACCGACAGCCATAAATGATTTTGACTGGTGACAACTTAAGAATTGTCACCATCTCGTGACCACTGATGATGACTGTTACTTCATTGTCAGTCATCACCAGTTATACTGATAATGACTGCCAATGTCGCATTTACTTTTAACTTATAAATTTATTAATCATCTTTTTAATTTGATGTATCATAGGGTTTCAGAACTAACAGTTGTCAATGAAGTTCTCAGGAAGTACATTGACCCTGAGAAGGCAGATGCTGTTCACAAGCAAAGGTAAAACAACAATGAAATACTTCATTGTATAAATGATGTAGTAAACAGTGGTTTTCGATTGCTTTTTAAAATTAAGAGGGTATTATTTTCCCATACTTCTTAACAGTATTCGTTAACTTTTGTCAAGTTATTTGGAATCTTTCTGTTCATATACCAGCACAGATTCTGACCCACAGGTTTGCTCAAAAGATTCAAGATAAAACAAAACAACTTATTATGAGACTTTTGGCCTTTTTGTACACACTACTGTAATTTGTTCTGTACTAAAGGATCCACTATAATGTTATAATTTTGTGAGTCATATTATTTACAGATTAGAAAAAATTTGAATTTTTTATACCATTTTCAAACAGTTTGAAGAATTACTGTGCTGTTGGTCCTCAAGGAGTCTGTGTGTTTTTAAAGGTGGAATCTTTACCTGCATCTAAACTAAGGTAAAATAATGCAACATTGGATATTGTGATGTTTGATCACATTTGAACTGGATTAAGACAACTTAAGTGACGTACAGTGGTCATTGTGCATTGCAAAGGCGACCAGCTTAAACACTTTAGGGATGTAGCCTAAGACAGTTGAACCTTTCATAAGTGACCACCCAAAATGCAAACGCTTGGTGGTTGATTACAGGAGGTGGTCGATTACTGGAGTTGAACCACATGGGGCCTCTTCCGGGACTGTCATCGCCAAAACTTGGTCTCAGTTGCTTACAGGAGGTGGTCGTTTACACTAAGGTTCCAACTGTAAGGCTTTGACTGGGAAAATTTTGGTGTTTTGGATTGGTGGTTGCTTGTGGAAGGCAGTTGCTTATGAGAGGTGGTCTCACATGGAGGTTCTACTGTATGACTGTAATACAGTCAACTCTTGCCTTGCGATCATTTTGCTGTCATGGACATCCTGTAAATTAGAGTACAGTTGTATGGAAAACAGCTAAATATATGGCAAAATTTCAGTTGCAGCTGAGGTGGTTGCTTACAAGAGTTTTAAAACAATAGATAATTCTAAAACTGTCATTCTAAAAAGTGGTTGCGGTCGCCTATGAAAGGTGGTCATTTACAAGAGGTTCCAGCCATAAGGTTTTGACTGGGAAAATTTTATTTGGATTGGTTGTTGCTTATGGTAGGCGGTCACATACTTACAAGAGATGGTCACACATGGAGGTTTGACTGTAGTTCATGAATAGCGTCCATGTGAGTTAACACATAGACTAATTTCATTCACTTTTTAACATCCTAATGATTTTTTTGCCTTTTTGTTTTAACAAACTATTGTTCTTTTGGGCATCACAGACGAGTTAAAATTGCTGTAAAATGATTCCAATTAGCACATATTTCTCACACTCTCACTTTTAAGGACATCTCATCAGGTGCTGGGGGTATCCACAATAATGCGAGTTGACTGTAATGACAATCATCATCATCATGAAACTTACAATGCGTGTTTTGCAGTGAAATAAATTTATTGAGCTCAATGATTGCCCTGTAAAGTGATAACTAAGGCCCTGAAAGGAACTGCCTTAAATACGATTAAAGATGGAGATCACTGGCCAGCTGGATGCACATTAACCGGAAGTGGCCTTTTTGCACTCTTGACCCATCATTTTGAACAAAATTTTGGGCAAATTGTCTCCATAAGAGTAAAGACACTTAGCAATACAAATTTGGTAAGATCAAGGCATATCAAAGGAGAAAAAGGCCCCCACATTCGGTTGATGTGTGTTGCTCAAAAACATTGCTGCTTAATCTCGGCCCTGATGTCTCTTGTTTAGCCTCGCCTGGTAAATTTGATTTAGACACACAAGATGATGAAGATGGAAGTAAGTAAGAAGGGCATGTTAAAAAAGTACAATACAGTCTTTTATGGTTTCTTTATATTAAAAACAAGGGAGGTGAGGCTGGGGAGAGGAACTCAAAAGCCATGTATTAAAAGAGAAGGATGGGATAAGGGAACTCAAACCAATCAATACCCTGTGAGCAGAGGTGTTTCTCTTGCATGGCTTGTCTTTAGTGTTGTTTTTCTTGGAGCATAAACAAACCAACTACACAACAGACAAGACATTTAAAAGACTTTGTAAGCGATAAAACCATGCAAGAGAGAAACCTCTGCTCGCAAGGAACCAATCAAAATTCTTGAAGAAATGCATGGCAAATTATCTTATAGTCTGAAATAGGAGGTGGAGAGGTATGACATTTCAGACTATCTATATTTCTTAGTACAAATTGTAGGACTAAATTCTTTGTACTTTGTAGGTATCATAAGTTGGATACTTCTAAACCCCTAAAGGAATGCCTAAACAACAAGACCATCATTGAATTCCCTACTTTGCATGTTGTGCTTGCTGACAAGGCAGCAAGCTACATCTCCCAAAGTCAAGAGGAAACCTTTGTTGCTGTCACAGAGAGTGCAACATGAGAAATGTCTTGTAGAAATCATTCTACATTTGTATTTTGAGAGGAAGTGTTCGTAACATAGAGTGATGAAGAGCACATGGGGTCGCCACTCCTACCTTAACGAACATATTCAGGATTGTACCAAAGTTAAATGGATTCCTTTACACCAGACTTCACTGGAATGGCTCTATTGTCTCTGACTGAGAGAATGATATAAAGCAGCAGTCTGCTTGAAAACAACAACAACAATATTTACAGATAACGGCAGAGTTTATTGTCATTGATTTTGTTGGAAATTTAAATAAAACACTGATGGGGCTTGACGAACAGCTTGTCAGACTGGCCACTAAAATGAACTTTCATTCTCTTGTAAACTGCCATTCCACAAGTACATTGATGTTGCCAAAGAGTAAATTAATTTTTTTTCACAGAAAACAGAACAAGTAGAGTGGAGAAAAACACCACCAAGATAAGGATGAAAATAGACTGCAGGAAATGGTTGTTCAAAAGTTGGATAGCGCTATCCGCTGGATAAATCACTGTCCACTGGATAGCGTAATTGGTTTCCCTAATACTTATCCAAAGGATAGCGATTTATCTGATGGATACCGCTATTCATGTTTTAAACAACTGGGCCTGTTCATTAAATCTGACATTATTTTGTGAAAGTTAAGATTTTAAATTTTATCAGAAAATGAGGTAAACCTAGTCTGTCATTGTTGTAGACAAAGACCACTATTACCATAAACCTTTCTCTCCCACGCCAACTAGGCTAGGCTTTGGTGTTACCATTCAAAAGAAACCTCTTTTACAGAACCTTTGCATACCACTCTGTTTCTATTTATTTTAACTAAGGATTTAACCCAACAAAACTTAATTTTTTTGGTGAATTTTTTCGCTGACCAATGTTAGGAGAGAATGGGTCTTGTAACAAAAACAAGATTTTTTTGCTGTTATGAAGACTTTTAATTTGTATCTGTTGTGAAGTTGCTCAAGGTAACAGAAAGTTCTTGTTTATTGTGGGCCAACTTGGGTTCTATCTCATGAAGACATCTGTATTTCTAAAACTTGAGTTATCCCTGAAAATAAACAATGAGTTTACAATCAGTGATTAAAGTTGAGAAAAATATTTTTTGTTGACACTGAGTAACTTTACTAAGCGACATTGAGTAGAACTTTGCAAAGGGAGATAGGGCTGTCCTGATTTCAGCACTAATAGGACAGTGTAATAGGACAGTAAGCGTCACGCGTGTGATAAATTCGACATGTTCACACCACCGCTACGAGCATTTAAATGCTAGCCTGTGTACAGGTTAATAAATGCCTAAGCCTGAAATATCACAGATTTTGTTATAGTTTTGGTAATTTGGTAACAGAACTTTGTGTGATCCAATTCAGTCGGTAATCATACTTGTGATTAAAGAAATTGGACTGCAGCAATGGGGTCGTCTGATTTTGTTAATCACTTGTATGATTTCAGACTGAATTGGACTCCACTCAGTCCTATCACCATTATTTACAGTTACCTAAAAATTATTGAGCATAACTTATTATTATAAACTAGTAATAACCAAAGGTTACAGTCACTGAGTGTGGGGTGGAATGCTCGAAAACTTGTCAAAATGCTTTTACTCTGATACTGGGCTTTTGGTACGTTTCAAGTAATAGATGGTCAAAACATGTGTGATCAGATTACATACTGTGCATTCCACTTATTCCTAGTGGAAATCCAAACAAAGCTGGCTATATAAAAAATTGTGCCAGGCATGCACAATAGCAACCTTGAAATTAGGATTGTGGGCTGTTCTTGTCGTTTGTAATAATAATAAGCCTTTAGTAAAAGATGTCTGATGTGAAGACACAAGTTTTGTGTCTTATTAAATTAAGGCACTCACTAATCAAATTAATTTGTCATACTTTAAGCTGCTCTGATGGGCCTTGTATTCCATGATTGTATTCTGTGGTAGGTTCAGTACTCTTTTCAGTGTGTCCCTTAATCAAAAAGGAAGAATAATTTTGTTTAGCCACACAAACCTACATAGAACATGATGCCACATGCAAAAAAATATTATAATTTGGAAGTACAGTGTAAGAGAATTCTAACACCAGAAAGCTCGGAAAAATTCTGAGCTTCAGGTGAGAATTGAACTCATGACCATCCGAGTTCTAACCACTGAGCTGCTGGAGGCACTATGGAGAGTAGGGTCACCAGTCATAGAGGAGTCATCATAATAATTTATTTTTTTTCTGTATCACTGCTTCTACATGAGTCATGGCATGATACATGTGTATGTTGTGGTTCAATTCTTCCCTTCGTTTATTTTTTAACTTCAGGAGGAAAACTTTGATAGACACAGGGCTGTTACTAAGATTTCAAGTTGTCAGGTATAATTATGCAATTAGTCAGCAGAAAATTGAAAAGCTAGAAAGATCTCTATGTTTTCTATTCCTTTTGTTTCATCTCAAAGTAGCCAGGTCATGTTCATATAAGAGGTCAGGGGAAATAAAATCCAAGCGTCCAGCTCTTACTGACAGCCTGAATACCACTTTGCAAACCTCATGTAAGAGGTCCAAAATAATACAATAATATTTAATGTATAAGAGACGTATACCATTTTAAATTTGGAGATTTTGTATTCAAGGGGAGGGGGGGGGGGGGGCTTTGAGATTTGTGGTTTTTTTTAAAAAAAAATTTAAGACATAGGAAATTACCTAATTTTTGTTTTGGTTGCTTTGAGTGAAGGATTTTGTTTCCTATTTGGAGTAAAACAAGAAATAGAAAAAATCAACATACACCTTACAATATGAATTCATAAATATATAAAAAAGTAAAAAGAAAAAAAAAAAAATATAAAATTAAATTGAAATAGGAGATATTTTTTGTTTTTGTGGGTTTTGTGGGGGGGGGGGGGGGGGGGGGGGGGGGGGGGGGGGGGGGTGGGGGGGCTTTTAGAATTGTGTGATTTTTTTAAAAATAAATTTACAGACTAGGAACTTACCTAATTCTTGTTGTGGTTGCTTGGTCTGCAGCATTTCTGTTCCATATTGAGATGATATCTTCCTAAAAAGATAGAAAATTGTGGTTTGTTTTGTGCTGTGAACAAGTGAAATACCGCTATTTTTCGACAATAGGAAAGATATTTCATATCTCCAGTTGAGCATGTGATTGTTCTTTTTTTTTATACAAACACCAATGAGACACCAAACCACTTCGTTTGCACTTTTTCCGTGAAAAGTGAATGGCAGTCCTAGCAGGGTTGACTGTGTTATGTGTGAAATGAAGATAAGGTGTTTTTACGTGAAAGCTCACCTGGTACAGTTTGTATTTTATTGATGTTTCTACAATGTATAATAGAAATATTATCTACAGTATGACACTAGGCAAAGTCAAATTGCAATCTTTGACACATTGGTTTTGTACTGACAGTAAGTATTAAATTAATTTGCAGATGTTTTATTAATGTATGTATTATTAAAAAGACAATAAGGACCATGCATACTCATCAGACTCTTGACTCTATGAAAACCTTTTTTTTAAACTTGGGTCTGACCTGGAATCGAACTGATATGACAGCCCCACAGACCTCACTTCCGACCATAAACTGCTCTCCAAGCATTGCCAGTATCTAAAATACATAAATAAAGCACACAATTCACCACAATGAAAACTACTGGTTTACAAGTAATTGGGTAACCCAGGTCTATAAAGAAGTCTTTTTTTTTTTTTTACTTTTTTCCCTTTACATTCAATATTCTCAAGATTAATTTATATTTAAAATAATAATATCACGCAAAACATTTTTATTAATCACCAATAAATGGTTATTTTATTTTATTACCCATGAAATTCAGCAAAACCACGAACGGGCGATATATTTCAAGACGTTTCATTACATGTAGTGGCCATATCACAACAAAGACTGACCACAGACCACATAGAGGAGACCAAAAAGCCACAAACTTATTAAACAAGCTGTTTGCATTTATCATGTAGTTTTCACACCCTTGATAGACTTTTTCTTTGCAGCACAATTTGTGCTTAAAAAATTTTGGATGTTCACAGTTTTTAGAGTTCGACAGTGACTGGTTTTCTTATTTTCTTTCTTTTTTAATTACTTTTCATACCAGGTTCTCCCAGCATCTTGATGCGAGCCCCTTTCTCAGGCGAACTATCCACTTTCCCCCATGCTTATTTGCCTCATCCTAGAAAGACATATTTATAAAGAACACGATAATAAAGGGTAACTTTAATATTCAACTCTTAAGAGCCACCATAGCACAGCTAAAAGAGAGAGAACTTGTCTCCCACCAATGTTCATAGATCTGGACCTGGTTCCCGGAAGGCCGATTAGCGTTAATCCAGGATTAAAATTTTGTTCCATGTTTGTATGTTACATTCCAATGCATTGCTTAGGGTAACATTTTGTGTTATCATTACTGTATCTCATAGCGAAGGCTCAATGGTATTCTGAAACCTCATGTTGCATGTTCTCAGACAAGAAAACTGTGCTTGAAATTTGGCTTAATCCGAGACCTTGGGCACCTGGGTAATCCCTGCATTAACAATATGTGGGTTGAGTTTATTGCTGGTGCTACTTGCTCCTGCTGGGAGTCCTGTTTTACCCCTCCTAAAAAAATGACAGGGCTGTGCTGTAGGAGAGTGTGGTGGACCCTAGTGCCGGGCGACTAGAAAATTTTTTTTCACTTCCTTTGCTGGTTACCCTGGATTTCACAAGTTCAGAGCACTGTGATCCCTTCAATTTTTCTTAGTTGTATAACAGCTGCTGTACAGCCATGTAACTCTAAAAACAGAGTACTTTTTTGGTGGTAAATTATTGTTCAATGATATAAAATATTTGTAAAACTCTGTCTCCTCAGGAAGGTGCTCCATCTTCTTAAAGGATTCAAAAAGATAACCTACCTCCCACATGGGCTTGATGCCATCCTTAAACAAGTGAATGTCGCTGTGTCCAGTTAAGTCACCAGGCCTGACCAGGTAGCTGTAAAAACCCCAAAACTGTTCTACCTGAGTGGTGAAAAAAAAAAAAGAAGAAAAACGGAAAAAAAGGTTATATTATTCTAATTCTAAGGTAATCCAGGAATCTATACAAAGGAAAACTTACTGATGCAAATTTTCCAACAAGTTTAATGTTGTCAGCATAGTTAGTGGATGCCTGAGGCTTGCCTTGAGGTCTTCGTGAAAACCAAAATGCGTGCGGACATTGCAATGGATGTTCTCCTTCACCTACAGTCACAACTTTCTTCTCAAGCTGAAAGAAAAAAGCACAAAAAAATTTTATAACATAGTGCGCGTGCTTGCCCTATATAAGTCCTATTGAGCCGCTATGAACAAAATCTTTATTTACGCACGCCCGTGCGTAAATAACATGACGTAAGCATTTTTTTTTTTACCTGGCTGCAGAGTTGTCGTCTTTTAAGCTGCAGTGCAGTTTTCCTTCTCTTTAAAATATGGAAGAAACCAGCGAGGAACTGCCCAATTTTTCTATCGGCATTGACCTTTTAGGTCCTGATCCAACAAGCAGCAAAAATAGAGCCGAATTAAAAAAACTCGCATGTTGCGCGTTTCGCAAATTTTTCGGAAGACCAGCTGCAGCAAATTTTGGCCGAAAGACATTCACTGGGAACAGAACAGACACCAACTGGTCATCAACAACATTAAGAGGTTAAATTTCCGTTTTTATTGTTGCTTTTAAATTTGTTATGCACTTTTGTTATCTCCGGACAATCCGACTGAAGCAGGAAGATTTCTCTCGCAATAACAACACAAATTACACAAGAAGACATAAATTTTTTACTCACAAAAACAACTGCTGCTAGGTCTTCTCAAGAAGCCGCAATGACCAGCCAATGTTTGTAAGTGAATATGAGTTTAAAGAAGGATGACAGTCGTCTTCGCTAAAAACATGTTTTCTGGATTTCGCCGACCAAAACGTAAACATCTTTTCAGCAAATCCAAAGCATACTCCACGACTTCTTACGAACATGTTAGTATTTTAACTTTAGGTGAACTTTAAGACTCTTTTACCTTCGTTTCTGCTTAGTTTCCATTGATCGTTAACGAATAAAGACGCAAATTTTCTTTCTCAGTTTTACAGAAAAGCTACAGAAAGAATATTTTCATTCAAACTAGATGATTGTGTTGTGTTCGTAATCAGCCAATAGAAGCGTTTGTTATTGTGTAGCGTGTTACGAGAATTTTGTAGTTACTCAAAAAGCAAGCATTTTTGTCAGCTATGTTATAAAAGAATTTGCTCGTGCTTTTAGCTGTGCGTATATCGAGTTATGGATGCACTTGGGAAGTTTGGAGAGCACTCAAGAAGCTAGAGTTGCACTCGGCTATCGCCTCGTGCAACTCTTACGCATCTTTCGTGCTCTCCAAACTTCCCGCGTGCATCCATAACTCGATATACGCACGCTAAGCATGAACAAATTCTTAAATGTTATTTTTCTCTGTAACCAACAATGGCTTTTAAAGGCAGTAATAAAAATAAACTGATTTTACATGTATCACATTGATTAAAGTGTATCATGCTAATGGATGCAAAAATTCCACTAATCCAGGTGTTGGACAAGGCATCTTTTGCCACTGATGTAATACAATGTAATAACATACAGCTGTAGTAAAAATGTTGAAATTACAGGCAAACTTAAGAACAAAAAGCAAACTTTAAAACATGTAACATGTACCTCAGCCCGGAACTTCATTTCCTCTGTCAAATCACCTCCATTCATTCCTTCACCATTTCTTTCCTTTTAAAGATAAAATATGAAATTTATGAAAAAGGCATGTTAAACACTTTGATCCTAGTCATGCTGATGTGACTAAACAATGGCCTGCTCTCCAATTGGCTTGATTAGCTTAATGGATAGAGCACTGTGTCTGGTCATTTGTAAAGGTCAGGGTTCCATTCTCCACCAAGGCTGAATTTTTCAGGTTCTTTTTCAACCACTTAGGCTGTTTATTGAACTGCGAGGATTATTTCCACTTTAATATGTTTTATCTGCAGTTCAAAATGTGAGTCACTTCATATAATTATTTCCATTCACTGCAGGATTTGTTTGTTTTGCCAAGAGTTGTTGTGGTGGTGTCTAGTTCACTAATAGGCCGATTTAGCAACAAAATGGTAACGTCAGTTGACAACGGGAAAGTGTGCGGAAAGGAAAAAACACAACTTCAGGTGCCCAATTTGCTGCTCTGCCATTGGTCAAGCCAGTTGTTTGATTTGCATGCATCGCTGTCAACTCACGTTCCTATTCCGCTGCTAAATCAGCCTAATGTCTTATCGTGAGTGTAGATCAATATTGCTAATGTGTTCTTTAACCAGAAACTGCTAGTCATGGTGCTTTGAGAAGGTCGGTAAAATAACTTTAAAGCCTGGTTCAGATGTCACACCTCAAAAAAGATGACCCAGGCATGAAGAACGGTAGCCTGTGTCACAGATGTAATTTAACCTCAGTTAGTAATGTCTGTGAAGCAGTACCAAGATTTTTGTTCTGAATGACAGGGTAATCTGCATTTAAGCCAGTTTTAGAGATTGTTTATGCCAATGTGATGGCAGTCTGCGTCTCATAACAATATCATGTTGGGTTGCTATTGAAGACCAGCATTAAATAAACTAAAGTGGACACAAAAGTTAAAGACACCAGATTCGTATCCAGTACAATACAGCACCCTTGTTGAGTATCAACTTGAATCTTGCGCATTGCTACTGTACTTTATCCGCTAATTAAAACTTAAACCTACCGTATTTCTTGATTCACATTCTTCGTCCTCTTTGTCATCGCTGTTGTCGTCATTATTTGAGTCATCAAACTTAAGCCTACGATTTAAAATAAAGAATCATGAGTTACAAAGTTACAGGAAAACATTTTCATTGTCCAAAAATACGAATTGAAAATCATGAAACTTACGCTTCGAATTTGTTCATTTTTGCCAATAAATATTTCTAAAAAGTGTCTTATAAAAATATATAACTATTTACAATGATATATAAAGCTTAAATATTTCTTCGAAGTGGCGAAAAGTTCGGGATTTTATGAAAATTTCTTGAATGTTTACAAATGTTTTTTGCTTGCTTGAACTTAGGTTGGAAATCACGCATGCTCGTTAAGAAATAACAATAGCATTGCGGGCTCATTAGGCGTGACACATTCAAGCCTTCTTGTCACGAACTCCAAGACTCAGATGACTGTCAAGAGTGTTTTTTTGTTGTTGTCTTTTGCTTTCGGCTGAGACAATTCTGCACCTTTCCGGTGTAAAATGACGCTTCTAAGCCGTTCCCTTCAGCTTGTACTAATTTTTGCGGGATTTGTTAATTTATGCCATGCTTCACTTCATTTTCTGCGTGGAAGGCCGCGTGGAGGAATGCTTCCTGCTCCTGCTGCTGATGCCATTCACGTCAAAGATCTTCCGCAAGATCAGTGGTTCACACAGAGGCTTGATCATTTTGATGATTCCAACACCAAAACATGGCAGCAAAGATACTTCTATAATGACAAATTTTTCAAAAAGCCAGACGGACCCGTTTTTCTCTCCATCGGTGGCGAAGGTGAAGCGAATCCGATATGGTTGACAGTTGGTGACATGATGAAAAATGCACAAGTGTTTGGTGCTTTCACTTTCCTCCTAGAGCACCGCTTCTATGGCAAAAGTCATCCAACTAGGTATTTTAAATTGAGTTAAATGTCTGTAACTACAGGACAAACTTCGCTTTATGGACACCCACTCAATACAGAAGATACCAAAGGGTTTATGCGTGACGCTGGATTTGGCTGAAATTTAGCGCGTGACGCGTGAAAGTTCCCGGGATGGGAACGTGTCCCGTGAAACCAGTTATGCATGTGAAGCGTGATTTGTCTTCTAAGATGTGCAGGACTCGTGAATTATTTGTCACATTTCGTGAAAATCAGTGGTAAAGGAAAGATAGATTGAACAGCGCCGTTGATTTCATTCTTTGCGTTACGTTTTTGTCCTGGTTAATAATTATTATTAACTTAAGACTAGACCCTAAAAACTGCATGTGACCAGTGAACTTTGGGATCAATTCGTCCACTACAGCAATTCTCCTGTTGCTTTGTTGCCACGCAGGATACAGTCGCTAGGGTAAAAAGAAATCGCATTAGGGGTGTTGTTGAATTTTAACGCAAGATGCCTTGAAACAGGAATTTCCTACATTCATGGCTGCTCGTTAACGCCCTTTAAGATCGCCCTACTGACATTCTAATGAGAGGAGAAGTGGGGACACCCCGTTAATATGGACACTTACTGTGGCCCCCTCAGTGTTCGTGTTATTAGGGTTTGACTGTGTACCTTTTAAAGCTGTCACCTGAGAAAAAGATTGAAGTGTACATCTTAATGTTGCTGCAGTACTTTTTTGTGGTCAAGAAATGGATTCTGGAGGGTGACTCTTATATTGAAGTGAGGGTGGGATGCTCATTGTCTTGCTTAGGGGTAGAAATTGCAGATTGTAGTCTCACTTAGGGTGACCAGTAAGGATGGAAAGACAAACATGTTTTTACCCCAAAAGGTATCGCTGAGGGTCCTTTCTATCTATCTATTTTGGTGCACCCGCACTGATTTTATACGTCTGTCCCATTCCTGTCTGTTGGCCATAACAGATGCAAGATCCTGTCTGGAAAGACCGCTGTCACATTGCTTGAAAGTTGCTTGAAAGTTGCTAATTGGATCCCAAAACAGGGTTCTGTAGGTAAAGAAATACAGTTGAACCCTCACATGCAACCCCCTCTTGTGCGACCACCTATCCAAAAGACCAAACTTTTCCCTGTCAAAGCCAAGCAAGCGAGTAAGCTTGCAAAGTTTCTTTCCTAGGAAGAAAATCTACTCCTCCAAGACCAACAGATGGGACTTTTTTGAACCCTTGATTTAAACCACCATGTCATCCTGTGTTTTGTTTAGTGATATGAGTGATGCAAGCCTCAGGTATCTTAACAGTGAACAAGCTCTTGCTGACTTGGCAGCCTTCCGTAATGCCATGACTAAGAAGTTTAACTTGACATCTAGCAAGTGGATTTCCTTTGGCGGATCCTATCCTGGGTCTCTTTCTGCTTGGTTTAGACTGAAATATCCTCATTTAGTGAATGGTTTGTATCAACTTATTAGCCCTTTCATTCCCAAGAGTGTCAAACTTAAAAATTCAAGAGAAAGCATCNTTGTTTAGTGATATGAGTGATGCAAGCCTCAGGTATCTTAACAGTGAACAAGCTCTTGCTGACTTGGCAGCCTTCCGTAATGCCATGACTAAGAAGTTTAACTTGACATCTAGCAAGTGGATTTCCTTTGGCGGATCCTATCCTGGGTCTCTTTCTGCTTGGTTTAGACTGAAATATCCTCATTTAGTGAATGGTTTGTATCAACTTATTAGCCCTTTCATTCCCAAGAGTGTCAAACTTAAAAATTCAAGAGAAAGCATCAGTTCTGCTGTTTTATTAGGCGGTAAATAAAAAAAGAACATTGAATTCACGGAAAGCCTTGCAAAAGTTCTGCCATGTTTTCATGTGAATGATCACATCATTGCGTTTTGTCCACAGACTCATGAGGCCCTCATAGGATGGGTATGTTGTAGTTAATTTTTTTATCTCAGGTAATCAATTCTCATTTTTCTTTTGTTTTTGGGTATGGTAATGTTTGCTAATGAAGTTGAAACAAAAGAAAAATAAAAAATTACCTGAGATAAAAAATTACCTACAACAGGTGAGTACCCATGCTCTTAGTCTGAATTTCAAAACCTGTCATTTCATAAATCAAAGAGAAAGCAATGTCCCTGTTGGCATTATACTAATTGTATTTGTACTTGTCTTCATTGCTGTTGCAGTTTCAACCCATCTTTATGTCCTTTGTCACCATTTCATTATTTGTCTTATGTCATCTTTTCAAGGCCATCTCGCCTGTCAGAATTTTTCCCCAACAAAGCCTCACCCAGGCAAGGTAACAGTTGGGGGAGGGGAAATTGTACATGATAGGGAGATATCCTGGAGGGAAATTTTGTCTGTAGTCGCATTCAGTTTTGATGCTGGTTCTTTCAGGTAACAATTTTAATCTTTTACAGGTGCTGTTGCTTCCAGTGCTCCTGTTTTTGCCAAGCTAGACTTCACTAAATACATGGAGGTTGTAACAGCATCCCTTGGTACAACAGGACAAGACTGTGTTAAAAATGTGGCCAATGCTACTGAGACACTCAAGTCATTGCTTTCCTCTGAGCAGGGTGCAAAACAGTTGACAGAACTCTTCTCGTGAGTATTTCTACACCCCTATGTTTCATCTTCATCATCACTTCTTGTCGTGCCAGTGGGCGCATAAAGTCATCACGCTTTCTGACCAACACTTTCTGTCCTATGTCGCAGTCTTGTTTCTCTTTCTCTTAATAGTCCTCTTCCGAGTAGTCTTTGATCTTTGTCTCACCCTTTGACTTTCTTGTGTCCACCCTAATGCTGAAAACCAGATGTCATTTACACGCTCTCTCCTTAGTATGTGTACCAACCAGTTCCACCTTTGTCATACCTTGCAGCTTATGTCATTGATATCTGCCATCACATCCACTCTCTCTCCTCCCTGTTGCACCTCATTATCTCTTACATACACTGCTTCACCACTCTGCAGTGATACTGATCCCATCTCTTTTCACCTGTCCCTACTCATCCCTATAGCCCTTCAATTTCATATTCTATCATTTTCTTGGCTACTTGTCCTGCCTGTGCTACCTCCACCATGGCACCCATGTTCCAGCAACCGATAGTTGTCTGTCACAAGGGGACTACTATTGGGCTTATCAGACTTTAAGCTTCACGCTGGATTTGTCTGAAGAGCGTCATTACAGCCCCAACAGTGACACCCCCAGTTAGTGTTGTCTGATTATCAATGCTTCTACTTTCTGCAACAGTTTGTCTTTTTTTATTAGGCCGGGTTGTTAGCCCTGCACCTAAATTCCAGCCTGGAGGACCAGGGGGTCACTCTTTGTCTGGTCTCTACCCTTTAAACTTTTCGGCATGGGTGGCCCTACCAGGAGTACAAGACTCCCGCTGACATAGCTCTAGGGGTCATTGAGACATGTAAACTGCCCCACCATGTTAAGGTGGTGACCCCATTTGCATTTCATTAATTTTTTTTGCCATCTGATCACCTTTGTCATACTAACCCCTACACGTTGTTTTAACTCTTACTTTTATTCACATGCTAAATTAACATACTTATAAGTTTCTACTTGGCATGGTTAAGTGCTTTGACCCTGAGGGACACCACGACTGCCAGAGAGACAACACACCCATTCCACTCTTTATCCTTACATGCACCACCACCCTCAGCAAATACGTTTTAAGTATGTCGTAATAGCGGAGCTCCACACGCGCACAAAGCGTGCGTGAGCAGAGCCCCATACCTAAGAAAATTTGGTAATCTATCCATCCCAGAAATTTTGGTAATCACGTGACCATACGTCCGTTTGTCTGCTTATCTGGTGGATAAACAACCAGGCTAGCTAGGTGTACACAGAGTCAGGGTTTCAAACACTCAGCAGCGCATCTATACCCAAACGTTGTCAAGTACCTCCTTCCCCCGCCTTTACCAGCTAAATTAACCCTACCGCAGTGTAACGAACTTATGAATAAAGCATTAACTATGATCGATGTTCTTATGACCCCAGCCTTTGTGAACCACTTGATAAAGACAATGGTGATGATGTAGCTACATTTGCAACTGACTTATCTGGGAACTTTGCTGGTGTTGTTCAGTACAACAAAGATAACAGAGCATTTGAGGTAGGTATTATGAAATTTACAAAGACAGCAACTCTAATGCACCGATCAATTCGAAACTTCAGCATCCCCCAGGCAGGCGGGCGGGAAAACCCCAAGGCATTTGACCATCAATTGTAGACTACGAGTAGTCCCTCATTTCCCCTCAGGGGCAGTAGAGCGAGCGAAACGCGAGCGCGCGTGAAAATCAACCCTCACGAGAAAGGCGAGACGCAAGTGCCAAGTTTAACTTCATTTTACGATCCAGTGTCTGACAACGTAGATGCAATCTTTTAAAGTTAGATGGAGGAGTTAAAAGGTCAAGACACATCTTTTGTAAACAAATGGCTTGTTCGATAAGGACTTCGAAAGCTAGCATGTGTGCATTTTTGTTATCATACCCCTATTTAATAAAAAGTGTATTAATATCACCGGAAGATATAAACCCAAATTACTTTTTTACGTCCGAAACATTCACTATACACTGATTATAGATTAATCCACACACCACAACAAATGTAAAGTTTGTTTTTCGAATTCACAATCTGCAAAATATTTCATCTTTGGGAGGGGCATTTGACCAATTCATTGGGCTAATGTAATGGGAATTTGACCAGGCCTCACTTAAAAAGTTCAAATGACCTGGGGGTTGCGCGTGGAGATGTTGAAGTTTCGAATTTGATCGGCGCATTACTTTGAGAAATTTGTCTACTCACTAAGAGTCTGTTGATTAGACGACGTTTAAAATGGACCAACCGGTTTAAGACACTGCAAGCACCCTCTTATTTTTTATTATTCTTTTTTCAAAGTTAGTAGAGTGACACACGTACCTGTTTTCGAAGAACATTGTTTTAAGTTGTCCAAATGATAAAGACCTAAGAACGTGGTTTTGTTGAACCGCCGGTTTAATAAGCTGCCCTAAGGGTTAAAAAAGATCTTATGAGCATTAATCTAAAGCCACTTTTTTGCGTCAAATATAATTTGAGTGCGTGAACAATTTCCTGTAAGATGTAACACTAGCCAGTACCTTCACTTCGCCGCTAAATTTTTTTCCTAATGGCGCTTAATTTAGTTATTTTGACCAAATGCTAAATTTTGTATTTTTTGGAAAACCGCAGACTGCAAAAGAAAGAATTGAAAGAAATAATCGAAGAAAACCTCGAAACTGCAAATAGTACATGCACGTGTTTCAACCGAAAAACGAAACTGCGGTAAGAATGCGGATGGAAACAAAAGTGTGCTCTGACGAGCGTACAGATAAACGGACTGATAGATAGCGCTAACTTGTTAAAAAATCTTTTCTTGAATGGACCAATCAACAAAACTAGAGACGGAGGAAAATGTGAAACCCGAAAAACCACTTTTCGTTTGATGTAAAACAAACAAACAAACAAACAAACAAACACCCAACGTTCTTAAAATAAATAACCGACAACCGTTAACCCTTTAAGTCCCAATAGTGACCAACAGTAATTTTCTCCTGAAAATGTCCATACATTGTCAAGAGATAAGGTTGTGAGAATATAAAAAATGATCATGAAAGAGAAAATGCCTTGATGTTTTATTAAATTCTCTCAACTAATTTTTAAAGGAAATGTATGGAGATCAGTTTGGAGAATTTGTATGTGGATACTGGGGCTTAAAGGGTTAAGTACACGTAGCCCATAAAACCCTGAATTTTGGACGTCGCAAACCCAGGATGGTCAGATTTTAAGGAAACTAAAATAGTGCTCTTGTTGTTGTTGTTGTTGTTGTCTTACATGTTGTCATTGTTGTTGTCTTATTTTCAAAGGGTGCAGTAGGAACAAATATAACAATCGATACTTTATGCGGTATCATGAATAACGAAGACATCGGAGATCCATTGGCTCGCTATGCTAAAATCAACTCGCTGTTACTCCAAACATATGGATCCAAGTGTCTTGATTCAAGCTACAAGAACATGATGACAAGTTTACAAAATACGTCGTGGAATAGCAGTGCTTCTGAAGGAGGTAGAGGAGAAAATAATAATTATTAAATTAACAAACAGATAACATAAATAAATAAAATCAATAGAAAAATCGAAACCCTGAAGGAGTTTTGGATAGTAACCATAAACCAGGTAGTTTACCGTAAATTATCTAATTAACGCCCTCTCTCCTCCGCCTCTTGTCTAATAAACGCCCCCTCTACATAACCTGAGATCAGGCCCAATTTTAGCTGTTCTCATACATTCTCTCTAACGGCTACCGCGAAAATTGGGCCTGATACAAACTCTCTCACGTTTGTACTCACTGCGGCCAGATTTTGGCCGTAACACTGATTGGCTGTTGGAACAATGCCTCAGGATCTGATTGGCTGTTGAAATCAACGGAAATTGAAACCGCTCATTCTTCGCGTGGTTGTTTTCTTTTCGTTTCGCCTTGCTCGCGGGAATGTAAATTTCAAGCGAAACGAAAATAGAGTCTGATCTCAGGTTACCTCTACAATGTCGAGTTTGTATTAGACGCCCTTGTCTAATAGACACCGCCCATGACAGTTACTCCAGAATACTATGAATTACCAAAGAGAAGCAAAATCGTTCAATTTACATGTATTTAGTTTCTTGCTTGATTAACTGCAAGAGTTTGCGCGTTGCATCTTGTTCAATGTGAAGGTGAAGTTCAAAATAAGGATAGACTTACGATGACAACACAGTGACCCTGAACGTGGATTCTGACATCCAAGTTAAGAATTGAAATCTCTGGACGGCCTAGACCTATCATTTGATGGACTATATATTCCACTATTTACAAACTCTTGATATTTATCGCTGAAAACATATTAGTTTTGTAGAGATTTTTTTACAAAAATGAAAATAAACGCCACCTCTCTATTAGAGCGATTTTCGTATGACCTTGAAAAATGGTTTCGGTAAGTTTTCGTTATTTGTTTTATCAGCCAATGGACAAAAAGATCAAAACACGACCTCTTCGTTTTCCCGCCAAAGAAAACCCTAATATGGAGAAGGCGTTGTTCGATTGGCCAATCGTGTTGCAGTATGACGTCAAAGCGAAGTATAAATTGATTTCTAGAAGTTATCGGGCATGAAGTTTTTTCTCTCGAGCGTTCGCTTAACCAGCCAAAAGCCACGTGCGTTTGTATCCGTTCGATAAAACAATCAAATCGCTCTGCTTCCGTTCGTTTTTGTTTCTGTTTTGTTCGCGCGTTTTCGTTTCAAGGTCATACGAAAATCGCTCTAAACGCCCCGTCTTGGTCCCCTAAAATTAAATAAACGCCTCGGGCTCATTTAAATCATTTACGGTAGTCTTGTTCTAGCCCCTCTCTGGACGTTGCGTTACAGGTAGGTGGGGGGCAGAAGTGGATAAACAACGACAACGACCTTTGTTTTGCTCTTGATTTAAGTACATATTAACAATGCAGAGGAATCTCAAATTTTGTGCTTGCCGATTTAAAGCTGGTTTTCACTAGGGTATAAGCGTAAGCACAACCACATGTGTCACCAAGTGAAAACTGGGTCGACATAAGCATAAGCACAGGAAAAACGGACAAGTTCGTTCTTCTTGTGCTTGTGCTTATGTCGTAACTTTGACTAGTGAAAACGGGGTCGACATAAGCACACGAATAAGCACCAGGCCGTAGACCAATCATAGGTCAGTTTGACCCAGAACTTGTGCGAACATATAAAAATCTAGCCTGCGAAAACATCCGCTTCTCCTCGCTATTCGTCGCTGGGGACGTTTCGCGCGGAGGAACGTCTGCGACTCAGCGACAGGAATTCCATACTGATGACGTAAAATCTGTCCGGAATCCGGTCAGAAGCGCTGATTGGTCAACGGAGTAGTTACATTGTTTTAGCTATTGTTTTCGAATGACCGATAAAGGACAAAAGGCCGCAAAGGTCAAATGTAAACGCGAAGAATCTCTAACAAAACAGTCAATATTTGTGGAACATAGTCTTCTCTAGAAGAAGTATTTGAGTTTTGCTGGAGCTTGTTGGCAGATAAACACAACACTTTACCAAAATCGACCAGAAGACACGTAAAACTGGACAAAATTTATATTTGAAACCCCATGACTACCGGATTTATCGTGTAAACATTGATTTGCGTCATCAGTATGGAATTTCTGCCGCTGAGTCGCAGACGTTCCTCCGCGCGAAACGGCCCAGCGGCGAAGAGCGAGGAGAAGCGGATGTTTTCGCAGGCTAATAAAAAGCAATATGGCGGACGCCTCGTCCGCCATCTTGTTTATCATCGGATTGAGGAGAGCTGGTATAGAAAATTAAGTCAAATAAACCTTTCTGCGCTTGTGTATGTCCTTATACTTATGCTTGTGCGCTGCTGAAAGCCAGGCTTATTAGTGAGCACACTCGCACTAAAAAGTAGCACATGCCAGTCGCGTCAAGCGACGGTATTACCCTACTTTCATAAGAAAGGCTGTTGGATTTTAAACGAATCGCTTCTCTCCAGCGATGCAAAAAAGGCATATTAAGGTATTAAAAAGTCGCCATTATTCGCAAAAAATAAAAGTAAACGTGAGAAGTTCGATGCAAGGTGTCTATTACAATCGAGAAACGTGTATTTGGGCTTGGGGAAGAAGTAACAATCCTAGGTAAGTAAACAGTGTCACATAGTAATTTTCAAGGAGTTATAATAACTCCTCTAGTGGGATTAATTCAACTCCTTACAGTGAAGTTATTTTTTCGGAGTTATTTTAACGCCAAAAAGTAGTTTAAAGAACTCTCTTTCAGGAGTAAAAATCACCCCAGTTTTGGGTTATTAGTAATATTGAGGAGTTAAAGTAAGCGCCAAAAAGGGGTTATCCTGTACCTAAAATTTTTACTCCATTTTTGGAGTTATAGTAACTCCTAAAAATTAATGTACAGTTATTGCAGAGTCAAATTTGGTGGCGTGTAGACTTCTTGGAGGCGATTTTGTTGGTGGCGAGATGACCGTAAACCCTACCTCTAAATCATCATTGATTGATTTGTTTTCTTTTCTTTTCTTTTTTCCCCAGGTCGACAGTGGATGTATCAAACATGCACGGAGTTTGGGTTTTATCAAACGTCAGATTCTGCTAATCAGCCATTTGGAAAATTGTTCCCTTTAAAGTACGCAGTCAGTAAAACAAAGCCAGAGGCTTTCAGAACAAAATTATTGATTAATTAACTTTTTTTAAAACTGGGATGAGTGTTTCTGGATTAGGCGTTAAGAGGCACTTTGTTTACTCATATTCTATCTCTTGAAAAAACTTGGGGATGTTGTTATGAGAGCCTATTTCTACTGTCCCCCTTTCCCCCAAGCAGTGTTGATTGTGTTGAAACAAAACTTGAATGCATAACGTAGGGGGGTGGGGGGAGCAAGAGTTTTGACCCCGTTTGTAGTTCCAGTTCATTTGCGCAATTCTCTCTCGAAACTCGAGCAGAAAACCGGTTAAGTGCGAATTCGTAACGTGTTTTGTTTGTTGTCTTGTTCTATGGGGACTGAAACAGATAAGTAATAACACAGGGTTCGAACTTAATATTTTAGTCCACCAGAAAAGCTTTGCAGGCAAGAATTAGTAGCAAAATAAAAGTTATAAAAAATTATTGTGAGTTCGAGCTAAAATGCGGCTGGAAAAACTTGTAGTCATTCTCCGCGCTTAAACAATGGAGTACAGACTTGAAGTTAAAATGTGCAACCAAATTTTATCTTCCTTCTCAAATTGTTATTTGGAAAATGCTAACTCATAAATGCTTGCCAGAGGATATTCTTTTGACTCGCAAATTCTAAAAACCATTCGCTTTTAGCGAGTTTGGGGTCATCCTCGGTGTAAAGACCTCTGAAGTTCTTCTGTGTTTTCTAGCTATTATTTTCCTTGGCTCTATAGTGTTGACTTCGTAGTGGCTTCTTTGTATTAATTGTTTTACGTTACTCGTGAGTTTCACCGGTTTTTAAACCGAATATGATTCCGAGTCTGCGAGTTTTAATTTTGAGCCATGACGCATTAACTTGAATAAGTTTCGACTTAGCCTGCGAGCAGGTTCCCTTGTTCGAATTCGGGGAAATATCCGAATTCGCAAGAGTGAGCCTGCTCGCCGGCTAGTTTCGAGTTTAGAAGGTGCCTGTTCCGTTTCCACACTAGGGACTTTGTGATCCGACGACGCAATGGCAGCGAAAACTTCGCTTAAAAAAGTGAATTTACGTTCTTCCAGCCTGTCCCGATTATTGCCACCCGTTTACGTTATCAAAAGTAGGCGAACCCCCCGCGTTGAAGTTGAATGCCAAGGATCCCTACCTAAGTGCCGAAAGAGAAATAAGATTTTGTCGCACTTGTTTACGCCCTCCTTAAAATGTAAAATTATGCAATTTCACGTCGAAATCGTGCAAAAACGGCAAAGAAATATACAAAAAAGTGTAATGCCCGTCCAAAGTTGCCGTTTTCCTTCTAAACCTATTGTTGTTGTTGTTGTTGTTTTTTTTTTTTCGTCCTCGTTGTACGGAAAACTCGTTACAGATGGAAAACCCGTTTTGGTTGGAGTTCTCGTCTCTGGTGTGACTTTAGCCATTTACATGATACATTCTTGCCGTGGGCTTTGTTCTGTGTCTCGTGAAAATCTAGCTACCTTTGAAAAAGACTAATGTGGTGTATTAAATTTCATCATAGGTTTTCTATTCAACAATGTATGGATATCTTCGGACCTCAGTTTAATGCAGCGAACATTCAACGCGGTATTGATCAAACAAACACCAACTATGGAGGATACGGAATATCTTCAAGCAAGGTGATTCTTGTTAAGATTTAACTTACTCCTAGATCAAGTAATGGCCAGATTATTTGTGAAGGCTTTGATGTTACTATTCAAACGAAACCTCTTCAACAGTACTTTCACGTGGTACTATTGTTATTTGGGCGTCCAAATAGAGTAATCGAGATGGCTTGTTTTGATCAAAGTTGCAATAGGCACGCAATACGTGCGAACTTAAAGAAGCCAAGTAAACAAGCAAAGCGACGCGAATGTCTACTAAGGGATGTGTCACGACACAGTATTTATCCTCGTTACGTACGTCCCAAAGATAACGTACGGCAAACAAATTTGCAATAGAAAACAAAAGTATTGAAAAAACAAGGTAGACTCAGTGAAACAAACTATTAAAGAATGTAAATTTTTCCTTTGGAAAATAATTGTGCTCGCAGCACACGGCGTGAACGTTTTTTCTCTCGTACCAAAGGTACCGGTCATTGCCCTTTTTCACTGTGCAGACTATTCAATGCCAGTAAAGACGTCGCGGCTCATGTAGTCAGGCCCTTAGTTTTATTGCCAGATTTTACGTCCTTCCCCATGACCTTACCGATTTTTCAAAGCCCCCCGAACATACACACAAGATTTCAGCCCCCCCCTCAAAATTATACCCACTTCTCTACATTAAATGAACTTTTCCTCTTATCTGCGTTCTCTCCATACAAATATCAAAAATAACCGAAAAAAAATCCCAAATAGGAAGCCTAACATCGTTTAAAAGTACAAGTATGTTTTCGTCTATTGATGAGATCTTTTACAACCACCACTTCATTTCAACACACTAACTACACTATCCCTTTATAACCAAATTAGCATCCAACAACTACCTCACTGCAACACCCAAAATCACTTTTACCTTTCAAAAAAATCATTTTTTGTTACTTCATGTTAAATTCTACGAGAACGCAGTTTCGCTGATTACCAAACTACAGCCATTATCTTGCCAAATCCACGTCCAATATAACTCCACTCCTTCCACTCCACACATCTCAACCAACCCCTAAAATATACAACGCTACTGCACCACTCACACCTGCCTAATACACATGCCTAGTACACATACACTCACACGCGTAGTACATCGACGCCCAAATATACGCTCCCACAGCGTCTTGTTTAGTATGTATTTCTAACTTTTGAGTCTGTGGATGAAATTCTATGGTGTTGGTCATTCAAATGAAACCTCTTCAGCAGTACTTTCACTTGGTACTGTTTATTTAGTTTGTAGCTCTAACTTTTGAGTCTGTGGATAAAATCCTATGGTGTTACCATTCAAATGAAACCTCTTCGGGCATAGATTTTGCCCAGTGCCATTTATTTTTTAGGATTTTAGTAATACAAAAAAGATTGTTTTTTGTGAAGTTTTAAGTTTTATTTTCCAATATTAGGAGGAAAAGGGTAGGGATGGACTTGAATACAGTGTAACCTCTAATAACGACCGCCTTTCCTAAACGGCCTTGAGAAGACTTCTTCTCTTTCCATAAAATTGCAAAAGAAAAAGGACTTGGTAATACCAAGCCGTCTTGACGAAACGGGGCTGATCAGTAACTCATACATCAAAGAAATGTATTACACTTTCCCCACATAACTTGTGTCATGGATTTTGCACTCCTTTCCTTCACAAAACAGCCACCCATCTAAAACGGTCACTGCGTGGCAGGTGTCGAATGGGGTGGATGGGGGAGAGGGGCACAAGGTAGGGAAATTCTCGGTTTCTTCTCTCCTCTCTTTTTAAACCTGCCACGCAGGCCGCCTTTGTCCCAAAGAAAGTGACTGTCGTATAGACGTTCAACTGTAAGCTGTTGTAAAATGGGTGCTCGAGGGGTGCATGTGGTTACAGTGTAGGCTACGTTCGCACTATACTGGATAGCTTTTTCGCTGGCACAAAAATCATACCGGATAGGGCTTCTGTTCACACACAATGACGTGATTTCGGCGCGATGTCCGTGGCGGAGAGAAGCTGCGCCGCGTTGATCTCGAAAGTGGAGCGTCACATAACGGGTAGGTTTTGTGCCATACTTTGGTGCAATGGGAACACCTATTCGGACCGTGGCGGAAGTGAATAAGTAGGGGCGAAGACTGGAAGACACTGAAACGGAAGTAAATATTCAGGAGTGAGGACTAGTATTTAGTGCACCAAACTCTCTCTGCCAACCGCGCAGGCACGATGTTCGACGTGTGTGAACGACTTGTTGCAGCCCCAGGCCGTTGCTGTTCATATTATATATGCATACATATACAAACATACATTTATATAGTAAAGCAGATCAAGAAAAATTGGCCCCTTTACAGCTGATGTGGACCTATACTGGATAGCTTTTCGTGTCGGCACGTATAGACACAAAAAAGATACACCCGTTAGTAAATTTATATTTACTTCAAACAAATAAACTTGTAACCAGTGCAAAGTTGAGGCTGCGATCAACTAGTAACTTGACAGCGGAGAACAGCGGAGAACTTCAAGAAACACGTTACCTGGATGGGTCGACACCTGAGCCCGCAATAAGGTCATGTGATACTGGTCAGCGGATACCCTGTTTTGACAGCTGTCAATCGACCAGAGCATGGNACTAGTAACTTGACAGCGGAGAACAGCGGAGAACTTCAAGAAACACGTTACCTGGATGGGTCGACACCTGAGCCCGCAATAAGGTCATGTGATACTGGTCAGCGGATACCCTGTTTTGACAGCTGTCAATCGACCAGAGCATGGATGAGCAATATCAGGTTGCATGCTCCCACTTTAGCTAGAAAGTTTGACGTTTCACATTGGTTGCCCTGTGGTGCGGGCGGACGTACGGTCATGTGATTACCAAAATTTCCTTGATAGATAGATTACCAAATTTTCTTGGGTATGGGGCTCTGCTATGAACTGTGGTTTCTACGGGACTAATTAAATTGTCCATGTTAAAGAGGTGTATGTAAGTAGATATTCGTGCGTAAGCCTGTGGCGCTTAAACCGAGACATCTTCTGTAAATTGATGGGAAATTACAGTACGAAAAGAGAAAACATTAAAGAATTGCCTTCTCTCGGTCTTGGGATTCGAAGATTGACTTTCCACTACTGCGCAGCTTTGAATTGATTCGCGAAGGATCTTTTGAAGATAAGTAGATTCACGGCTTGTTTATTCGACGATCCCGCTCTAAGGATTACTGACCTGTCCTGACGAAAAGTGCATCTCTTTGCTAGTAAATCGACCCGATTAATACGAACATCTACAGTGTTTGAGAAGTTTTCCTTAATTCTCAGTCCGTCTGCTTGAAAGGGAAGCTGAAACAAGGACTCGGACTATCCTAATATCCTTACGTTGTTTTCTGTCCAAAACTATTTGAAAGAGCGAAGGTGTTCGTTTAGTTTGTGTTTAGGTTCCAGTTAAGAACTTAAAACATTAAACATCTAGTTTGATTTTCTCGTTGTGATAAAAGGTTTGTCGGTGACGTTTTCACCTGGGGTAATGCGGACCCTTGCGCTTGTCTGTCTGCATTTATCGGGTTTTAAAATAAATAATTAAATGTATAAATAAATTCTTTTTCCTTAGTGTTTTACGCAACACATTTCTCGCCCTGTGGCAGAACACCAGTATTGTTAACATTGAAATTAACATGCTTGTTCATATTTCCTTGTCGCACTCTCTGTCCAGCTTCTCCTTCGCGTTCTTGCCCTGCTTCTATACTGACCAGAGCGTTTGATGCTGATCTAGATCTGTTCAGCCTCGGCAATGTTCCCAGTTCTACAAATAAACTCAATGAACGCCACACGAAACTCTCTCAGTCTGGCTGCGTATATAAGAGGATTGAAAAAAGCGTTCAATAACGTCATTAACGTTGCCAAAAAGAAATATATGTAAAGCACGTCAAAAGACAGTTTACTTTGATACCTCACTAAGACAACTCTAAAAATGAGCAGGGGTGTATAACACAATGTGAGCACTACAATGATGATAAACGTCACTTTGAAAGCCTTTTTATCTTTTTGAAATTGTTCCCTTGCTTCCACGGTCACTTGCTGAGCTGCAATTTGCTTTTCGTGTCGGCGGATTTCTCGGTAAACCGTAACATGGCAGAAGATTATAAAGGCGAGGCATAGACCCATGGTTGCATTGTTAAGCGGCAAAAATACAGATCTGTAAACGACAATACCAATGTGAACAATTATTGATAGTAGCCACGCTAAGACAGAGGCAACAAGAAAACGAGCTTCGGTAACGAGGCTAAAGTGCGCGAACGGGTGTCTCATGGCTACATACCGCTCTCCGCTAATCAAAGCCATGTTTATTAAAGAGGTAGAGACACTGACGACTGACATAGCCCTTGTAAGAGCTTGCAACACGCACGTTGCACTGGAAACGTCATCATCATTCTGACAATATTAGTAACGCTACTTCCTCCCGACATGTTCCTACGGGTGTTGCTTCAGACAACTTCGATCATTCCGCTCAGGTTATAAGCTGAACACTGAAGAGTCGGCACTAAAGTAAAACTGCCGGATCATAACAAGCGCGTTCAAGGCAGCGGTGACAGGAAATGTAAGAATGTGGACGGCAATGATAATAATAAGGAAAGCTTGAGTTAATATCGAAGGTTGATGCAGTCTTCCTCCCATAACAACGTAGAACTCACATCTAGAGGGGAAGAACTCGTTGCTTGAAAGGTTCGAATTCATCCTTTTAGATCTTTTTCTGGGCTTTTTGCAGTTCGGGTTACCGTTTCTTCTGTTAGTTGCGGAAATTGTCCCAGTTTGAAACAATCATTATCCGTTACAACAATGAGCCCATTACAGTCAAGCCTTGATGCCTGTACCAAAAGGAAGGATCTTTGTGTCCGGATCACTGTGGTGTCTGTATTATAATATCAGCTGTGCCCGTATGATTTATTGTATCTTTGGACAAAGATAGGTCTCTGAGAGGCCAGTCAGCGTAATGGCGGACTGTTATAGGACTGTCTTTGATAAGAGGTTCAACTTCACTTGATGTTTCCAAGTTAGTTTTTTCTAAAAAAAAGAGGGAAAGGAGAAAAGGAAAGAAAGCCATTAGAAAAAATTCAATGACATGAAAACTGGTAAGTTGTTGCTAATAAGGCAAACTTGTAATACAAGTTACTTTGTAACTTTACTTACGAGTTATTTTTTGTATTATTCAGTATTTACCTCCATTTTTGCACGAATGGATCGCCCCAGCCAGTTTAAATTAACTTTGAATAACCTATTTATATTTCATGAAGAAACTACATAGAAATTCAAATTAAATGAAAGTGAAGTTTTTCTATGGTCTTATTATTATTATTTGATAAGTTCTTGTATTATTAAACCGACAAACCGATCTAGATGTAAGAATTTTTTAGCTGTTAAAAAAACTTTTTGTTCTCGCTTTAAACTTTATGAAACGGTTCCGGTCGTTGACTTACCTGGATATATTATATTTAGCATTCACTGGATGAGACTGAGTATAATCTGGAAAATTATGCAGATCGAGAAGGGGTTTTCGGACTCACCGCCATTATATTTTCGAGTTATTGAGGTATAATGAGTGAAGTTGGTGCCCCGCTTTTACCTTTGCCTGTAACCAGATAAAATTACCTCTTTTTCTTGGTGAATAATTGAGGAACAGACAAGGCGAGAACTTAACCAGCAAACTGTAGCTTCGAACGACATTAAGATAATTTTGTCTAGCGTAGATTAGAATTTGTCATAACAATTGTGTTTTGGTTTAATTTTAATTTTTCTATTTGTGTGTGTGTGTGTGTGTGGGTATAATAATGAATGATAATGAGGTTAAACAAAGAAAAAGCAAAATTAAAACAAAAATAACTGAACCGTAAAACGTGAATTAATTATTCACCAAGAAAATGAAGTGATTTTATTGGCGGATTCATCGTGACGTCATTGTTTACATTTTTGGTCATTAACATACGAGTTAACCCATAGAAGACGTGGTAGTATATACAAATCAGGTTCATAAATTGGAAGAGCTGGTTAATTTGAGTAATTTGTGCAAGTTTCAGCTCTTTGCAGTCAACTAAGAAAATAGCAGCAATCAAAAACTGCGGAACTGCTGGGTGCCAAAACGTTAATGAGTTCATACATTGTTTGTAAATTTTGGGGTTTTTCAAAGAGAATTTCTCCGAACATTTTCGGCATATCGGGCTCAAATTTTCAGAGATAACAGAAATTGTTATGCTCTTTCAATACTCAGAGACTTTGTTTTATTAGCCTCATCAGATAATGATAAGCATATGCTAATGAGGCAAACAATATTAACGGAGATAGGCCATTTGCACTAAGAGGTCATGTGACATCGTTTTTAGTGAAAATGAAAGTTATACGATTTTGCCTTTGAAAAACGATTAAGCAAAGTAATGGTGGTTTGGTTTTCAAACCTGCATCATTTTCCTAAAATGAGTAAGTTCGTAAATGGTCACGTGACCAAAATGTGATTTTTGAAATTATGAATTACCTCTTTCTGAACACAACTTTTCCACTTAAACTTCAAGGAAAATGTTGAAAAGGTGATGTTGTAACGTTTACAGCACATCTGAGGGTAACTATCAAACGTTTAACAAGATATAAGCAGAAAGTGGTTTTGGCCGCCATGTTGAAGGGCAAGACTATGCCCTCCAACATGGCGGACAGTACAAATCATATTTTTACTTTGTTGAAAAATGAGTGCCATAAAACATCTCCCTTAAATGCGTTTCCTCTCAAATTTTAGGTGTAAGATAATTTTTATGTGCTCTATCAACTTTTGGCATCGGGAAGATTCCAACTCATTGTTTAAAGGAAGCATTGGTCACGTGACTTCAAAGTGCAAGTGGCCTATTCGCCCATATGTTTAAAGGCAAACGTAAAAGCGGTGCTCCAACTTCACTCAAGAAAAACGAGTATTAAAAACACATGAAGTTTAACTCATGAAAAGAAATGAGCGATTTCGCGGAATTTTTGTAACTCCGCACGCTGGTTCAAACAAATCAAGAGGATTGTATGTTTCGATGTAACAACGCGATTTAATCCAATCGCACAATCTATTGCGATGTACAATTCTTACTCATTCAACGATAAAGACAAGAACTAGAACTAGAACGTGCCTAATACATTCTGAGTATACATAGGTTTCTCTACTGTCCTTATAGTATTTTTACATTAATCACATGTACAGTAAATTTCCTTAATAATGTATCTACATTAAGTTGCTATTACAAAATCGCACGTTCTTTCACCTTATTTAGCTTAAGTGAATAAATGCAGTTGCATCATTTTATATGGTAAACTTACTCGGACTTTGTCCACATGATTGTGAAATCCTATGTCACGAAATCTATATTGTTTGCGCTACAAATATCAATTTTTAATAAATATTTAATGAAAAAATAATCACGTTAAGCATCACATATTTCTTTCCCGACAAGCGAAGAAAACTCGCAGATAATTTGAACTTCTAATGTTAAATTAGTGTAATTTTATTACATATTTTTGGTTATCGAAGATTGCGCAAAAAATGAACTTGAAATTCAAAATGGGAAAAAAATTTACCGAAAAGTGGAGGGAAAAGAGCCATGTTATAATTGATAATATGGTCTTATGATGTTGTTGTCTCTGAGCTTTGTTGTTAATGAAGAGTAAAAGGCACAGAAATTACTTATAAAAAAGAGTCTGAAGGGATCAGTCTGAGCGAGAAGTTATTACTATTATTATTTTTTGATCCTTCCGTGTGCGTTCTTCAAGGGCGAATTTTTAAACCTTATAAGGCGAAACTATTCTCTTGGAAACCATAACACTGTGAGCGTGGCAGTCATTTGTCAATACTGAAGTATGTTTTGTTTTTACTTTACTCCCTGCGTTTAAAGCACAAAATCTTCCCCGAATGCTACGAAAAAACGGAAAGTCAAACTTACCTTNTTTAAACCTTATAAGGCGAAACTATTCTCTTGGAAACCATAACACTGTGAGCGTGGCAGTCATTTGTCAATACTGAAGTATGTTTTGTTTTTACTTTACTCCCTGCGTTTAAAGCACAAAATCTTCCCCGAATGCTACGAAAAAACGGAAAGTCAAACTTACCTTAATTACTTAGATCTATGTCTGCTGTAATGTAATAATCTTTTTCTGTGCTGACAAAAACTTTCGCAGCCTTTACCTTTTCACTCTCAAATTTCTTACTTCCAATGCTGATTGTCCTGAGATTTAAGAATATCGGCGGCAGCATAAACAGCAAATTTCCCAACCAAAAAGATCAAACGTAAAGCGACAGCAGAAAAAGGTTGTTAAAATGGTACCAACAATAAACTTAATCTTGCTTGTAACACCTGGACGTATCATTGACAAAAGACGTGACGGTTGGTCCTCAATGTTACATTAAAACAAAAAATGGACAAACGAGGCAAATATAAAGGCAAACACGAAGTTTTTTTATTTTTTGTTGTTGTTGTTTTTGTTGATGATGTTTATGTCAAGAGGGTGTTAAGCAATTTACTTCACTGTTGCACAAGCATTACCCATAGTTTTACTGTCTATTTCACCTTATACTTTTCTGTGACTGGTTGCCAAATTTGTTGGAAAATTTGAAACTACGTTACGGATCACCCAATTACTATCCGCAAATTGCGAACTTCGAAACGAAATGCAACTTTTGTTCGGCATGAGCTAGATTCGAAACTTCGACGTAGGAGGAATACGTTGTTTTTTTTGCTTATGTTCCAAAAGAGTAAACCCTGTACTCTTATCCCTGCCTGGGAAAGCAAGCAGATGCTGTTTCTTCGATCGATACGTAATTTTTAATAATAAGTGGAATAACCATTTCTTTGGCTTTGATTTTAAAGGATATAAACCGATGCCGAACGAAGCGTTTCCAAGAATTGCAAGCACTCTGGGACACACTACGGGGAAGGGTTGTACTCTACTGACTGTCTATTTGTCGTTAGCGATTTTTTTTCACGTGTGTATAATGTTTGATTAGTTTACCCGATTTATTCAAGAATGCCTGTTTGGCCATTCAAAGCGTTAATTCTTCGTGGTCTCAGTTTGAATGAAGATTTTGTATCGAAGTATTCTATTTCCATTTTTATGTGTTTAACCAAATGATGACTAGAAAACGGTTGCAGTAACTTTTAATGGCGTCTAAGGGCGAATGGGTTAAAGTGGTTTTAAAATGATAGTTCAGCCTAGATTCGGTAGAATTTCCAAATGTGTGTCCTGGATAACTTCTATTTATTCTATTTTTTGTATTTTGTTTGTTTGTGTGTGTGTGATAATGAACTATGATAGTGAGGATTATAAAAAGAAGCTATTGAAAACTTAAAGGAAATAAGGATGTTATTCTAATTGAATATACTTTATATAATAATATCTTGACGAAATGGGAGATAATGAATGAAAGAAATTTGCCTTATTTTCATTTCATATATTTATTTATTTTTTGAATTAAATTATTCTATTTCAATACTAATTTTGGCGGATCGAAAATAACCCTAGAAACCGACCGGGAAACCTTTTAGCAGCCTTTACATTTTAACTCTTAAATCGCTTATTTTCAAAGCTAAGTATTCTAAGATTAAACTGAGATAATCGGCGGCAACATAAACGACAAATTTCCCCAACCAAGAAAAAAAATGTCAAAAAGCTTGAGCAACAGCCAAAGAAAAAGGTGATTGTAATGGTACCAACAATAAACTTAATCTTGATAATTTACAACCGGAGCGTAAAAAGAGAAAAGTCGTTGGCTGATACTGTATTTCGTGATTTTAAATGAAACTAGGAGTTTCAATTTGAATGTAAGTGCTGGCGCCAGAGCTAGAAGAAAATACGGAGAATACTGTTTGAAAACAAATAAGGTAGAGAAAATAAAAATGACCGCTGGGAATTAGGGTGGGTAAGCCGTTTTAAAAGAAAAATATGTTATTTGTGTGTATTTCTGACGTATAAAAGGGGAAAGTCCGTCGAGTAAATTTCCAAAGTGCAAGCAGGTGATAAACGAGGTCTGAGATTTTAGTAATTGCTTGTTTAAATTTTCTGGATCTCTATTTGCCTGTGGAATTAGTTTCATCAAGGTCGCGAACGGTTAAGTGATGAATCCCGAGGAAGAGAGGTCATTTTATGTGTTTGGCTGCTCTACTATGTCGACAACTTTTGCCGATTCGCGAATGGAAGTGCGAAGATATTGACGCATAGACATTATTGGGTATCATTCGCATTAATAAAACCTGGTTAGCGATATGCTGTACGGTCGACTCCCAATGGCTCGGACCCTCGCTAACTCGAAGCTCGTGCTAACTCGAACGAAAGTCGATTTCCCCTGCATTTCCTTCATACATTTACTGCATGTAATTTTACCTTCGATATGTCGAACCTCCCTCGCTAACTCGAAGTAATTCTTGTTTCCCTTCAGATCATTTCTATACAATTTTACCCTTGATAACTCGAACCATGTTTTAAGCTCGTGATTAGTCGGAAAAAGCAGTGAACAGCAGCTCAAAACATTGGTTTTATTTCAAAGCAACCGTGTATTCTTAGTCTTTACTTTTTTGTCAGTCCAATTAAATACAACGTTTAGCCATGTACTAATCAATCAAGTTTTTTTTTTCAATTCCTTTTCCAAAACGCAGTATAAATTTTGCTGCTCTTGAAGTGAAGTGTGCATGATACTTTCATTCCTCCCCCATTTCATTTCCTTATTTCTAGTTATTTGCTTCGATCTCCCGATAACTCGAACCTTTTTCAATTTCCCTTGAAGGGTCGAGTCATCGGGAGTCGACTGTATTTAAATTTCTCAAACTCATTAATAATTCATAATTAATGTTTTTATTTTTTAATTAGAGTGTGGAAATCAAATGAAAAACAGCTCATTTTTGCATCCTTAAAGCCTCTTCCTAAATCAATTTGTTTGAGAAGTAATATCAAGCATTCGACACAGTGTTTCATCAGCAGATGACACGCCTCGAAGTTCGTCAAAAATACTCCTCTGCGGATCGTATTTTTTACCCTCTTCTCGGTGTTCCATCTGGTGATGAAACACTGCGTCTCACGCTTGATGTATTACGTCACAATCAAGCATTTGTTCATCAAAACTCGCGAGGCGCCTCATTTTCGGCAATACTATTGTATTTTCTCTTTCCAATTAGAGATCGTCGAGCGCACGTATGAAAATAAAACCGTGCCGTTTGATTTTCGAAACGAAAAAGAAAACAACGTCTCTGTACAGACTAAATCCATGGTTCTAAGCTTTTCTTTCGCCTCTGCGGACAAATGTGCTTCATGGTCAAATTATCAGCTGAATTATTTACTCCGAATAGAAGTATTTTTACCCGGCTTTTCACTATTGCTGAATGCACAGAGAAATCTCCATGAAGGAGGATTTAATTAATATCTTCGCACCTCCATTAAGGTGGTTTTCCACGTTACGTCATCACCGCCATGCTGGTGGACGGTAAACAAAGATCGCTCATTAGCTCTCTCCGTTTGTCCACCAGCATTTGTTCATTTCACCATTGTTATTTGTGTCTCCCGAGATTGCATGAAAACCACCTATTCGCGAATCGGCAAATAGAGCGGCCAAATCCCTAAAAATCTCTCGTTTTCCTCGAGATTCATCACTAAAACGCTTTGGATCGAGACCTTGATGAATACTTCCACAAGCAAGACACCGAGAAAATATAAAAAGCAATTTTTTCTTACACATTCACCTCGTTTTTAATCCCTTGCACCCTGGAAATTCACTCAAATCTCTCGATCTCGTCCACGTGCGTTTTACGTGATGTCATCCCACAGGAGAGAATACCTCGGATGATAAGAAAAGTAATAGACCTATTCGGCTAACTCAATGTTGTACCCAATTCAAATCTCCCTGGGTTAAGATTCTTTGTGTATTGTATTTGCATTATAATGTGGCATTCACATTTAAATGATATGGAAATTCCTGAAACAAAACGTTTTAACCCCAAAGGGTTTGAATTGGGTACAACATTGAGTTAGCCGAATTGGTCTATCGACTGCGCTTCTGATCTTACATTCGACAATTTTGGCTTTTTCTAGCCTGCGTGAAAGCTCTCCTATTTGGGCGTGTCTCGCGAGAACGAGCGAGCAAAGGGCCGAGGGGCTTCGCTTCACGCTCGCGCGTTCTCGCGAGACTCGCTTCGCTCGCCCAAATAGGAGAGCTTGCTCGCCGGCTAGGCTTTTTCCTGCTCTTGTAGAGAATGGTGTATTGGTTCGCAAAGGCTTGCCAGCAAAAGTGAAAAACCATTGCAACTGAAGTGAAACATGCGAGTGAAACATTTGAACAATTCAGAGACCGCGTGTTAAAGTTACTAGAAAGACTACCGTTAGATGCTATTGATCGCACTATCGAAAGCATCAATGATGATCGATTGATACCATTATTTCGTCAAAAGGGCCCCGAACCAAATATTAGGACTGTTTTGGAATCGAAGACCTTGTAAGTAGGTTTTATATATTTTTTTACGCAGCATCACGTTCAAGCGCTTGCCAAAGTTCGGCCCAGAGGCAATAAGTTAGGGTTCCCATCTAAAATCATTTAGGAAAGTCACTCTGGCTTCCTCGTCCCCTATCCATGCGGAGGAGCAGGTAGGAGGATTGCAAAATGTATTGAAAAATTACTTTCAGTGGCGATAGAATAAAGCTCTTTCCACAGTTTGAGCTTCCATGTAAATAAACATGTCTGTCATAAACAGTCCGCATTTGCAGGTACCTCAATGCATACGACCCAGTGCAAAATATTAATTCCACAAAACTTTCACGCTTCTACGACAGCTTCTATAGGAAACTTGTGATTATCTAAACAAGTCGCTGCGTTTTCATAGACCGCGACGCCATTCTGTCACTGACAGCATACACGGAGAGAGCCCTGCTAAAACATCGTGTAAATGTGAACATCTGTACGGGTGTTCTCAGAGCGTCCACCCACCCCCCTCCCCCTACAAATACTTCCACATTTATTCTTTGCACGCTATAAGGAATGAACGGGTTAAGCATAACTTCAATCAGAGGCCTATTACCCTAAAGGTTCCAACCTCTACTAACGTACGCCTCTCCAAACCGGCCTCGAGTAAGACTTCGCGGTTCATAAAAATGCAAAAGAAAAAGACTTTGGCCAATATCCAGCCTTATTATATGGCTGAATCCACGAGCGGGTAACATGATGCGAATTCTGTGTTCTGACTGGCTACACGACCATCTTGCCCGCTCAAAGAATATATTAAAACTGGCGGATTTTCCTACACGGCATTTTCAAACGACAGCCACGAGAAATTATTTGACTACAGTGGAACCTTTCCTTTGGAACACTTTTATACAACGGTCACCTCCAATCAAGGGACGCAAACTTCGGTCCCGGAAAAACGTTCACATGATCTTTGTATTTGTTACCTCTATTGAAGGGACACCTCTACTCAGGGGAAAGGGACACTTTTNATATCCAGCCTTATTATATGGCTGAATCCACGAGCGGGTAACATGATGCGAATTCTGTGTTCTGACTGGCTACACGACCATCTTGCCCGCTCAAAGAATATATTAAAACTGGCGGATTTTCCTACACGGCATTTTCAAACGACAGCCACGAGAAATTATTTGACTACAGTGGAACCTTTCCTTTGGAACACTTTTATACAACGGTCACCTCCAGTCAAGGGACGCAAACTTCGGTCCCGGAAAAACGTTCACATGATCTTTGTATTTGTTACCTCTATTGAAGGGACACCTCTACTCAGGGGAAAGGGACACTTTTGCTGGGTCCCAAAACCCAGGTTTAACCACACCTTGGCACTGAACACAAAAATCGTCGATAAGTTCAAGTGTTTACTGGTCAAAATGGCGACAGCTTTCAAAACATGAACTATGTCAGTTAAAACCACTTCACTGCTCTAGTGGGAATTCAGTACACAACATCGCAGATAAGTCAATCAAAAATTTTTTATACACTATTTAGCTGCTTGAAACAATGGCTGCATCAGATTCCAAGGCAGAAATCAGTGAAAGAAAAGTATTTTATTTGTTTGGTTAATTATTAACGAACCCCAGCCCAACCTCCATTCAGGGGACACCTCTATTCAAGAAACACTTGCCTTGGTCCCGAGGGTGTCCCCTGAATAGAAGTTCCACTGTAAGTTGTTACGCGACACAATTCTGGCGCTATGACAGAACGTCATTATTATTAATATCATCATTGTTGTTCATATTTCCTTGTTCCACGTTCTGTTGAGTTTGTCCGTTGCGTTCTTGCCCTGCTTCCTTTCTGACCACAGCATTTGCTGCACCAGATAACTCACTCTCAATCTGTTCAGCCTCGGCAATGTTCCCAGTTCTACAAATATACTCGATGAACGCTACGCGGAACTCTCTTAGTCTGGCCGCATATATAATAGGATTAAAAAACGCGTTCAATAACGTCATCAAGGTTGCCAAAAAGAAAGATATGCAAAGCACCTCAAAAGACATTTCACTTCGATCACTCATTAAGACAGCTCTATGGATTAGCAAAGGTGTGTAACACAACATCAGCACTACAATGATGATAAATGTCACTTTGAAAGCCTTTTTATCCTTTTGAAATTGTTTCCTTGCTTCCTCGGTCACCTGCTGAGATGCAATTTGCTTTTCGTGTCGGCGGATCTCCCGGTAAACCGTAACATGGCAGAAGATGATAAAGGCGAGACATAGACCAAAGAATATATTCCTAATGGGCAAAAAGACAGATTTAAAAGTGACAAGAATAATGTGCAAAGTTATAGACAGTAGCCATGCCAAGATAGAGGCAGCAAGTAAACGAGCTTCAGTTACGAGGGTAAAGTGCGCAAACGAGTGTCTGATGGCGAGGTATCGCTCCCCGCTAATCAAAGCCGTGTGGAGTATGGAGGAGGAGACACTGACGCCTGATAGGGCATTTGTAAGAGCTTGCAACGTGCACGTTGCACTGGAAATGTCACCAAGTAAGACTGTTATAATCAGCACGATGAAAAAGGGCTGTACAAGGATCCCCACAACGAAGTCTGTTGAAGGTAGTAAGGAGAGTCCAATATTCGACTTGTGACTTCTCAGCCGTGACTTCATTTTGACGGCGATCATAACAAACGCGTTCAAGGCAGCGGTGACAGGAAATGTAAGAATGTGGACGACAATGGTAATAATAAGGAAAGTTTGAGTTAATGTCGAAGGCTGATGGAGTCTTCCCCCCATAATAACGTAGAACTCACATCCAGAGGGAAAGAACTCTTTGCTTGAAAGGTTCGCATTCATCTTTGTAAATCCTTTTCTGGGTTCTCTGCAGTTCTGGATACCCTTTCCTCAGTGAAATTGTCCCAGTTTGAAACAATCATTATCTGTTTAATAGTAATTAACAATAATGTCTATCACTTCTTACTGCGCAAAGTAACATTCAATATACGATCAAATGCGTGTATCTGTCACAACAAGACCTTCAGATAAGGGGGAGTGGCGGTGGGGGTGCGGTCATTCAGACTCTGAGAAAAGGTGTGGGGGGGGACCCAGCCTAAAAAAATTGTTTTCGGCCCAAAAATAAAGGAGGGGGGGCTGGCCCCTGGCCTAGATCCGCCACTGGTTAAGTTCAATTTGAGTTATTTGTTTCAGGCATTTGCTCGACCCCACTAGTATTAGTGCTATAACTACTGCCGGTAAATAACAAAGAGGAAAGAATTCCGTTAAGGCCAGTAAACATAGTTAGTAGAGGAGACTGGTTATGAGAGCCGGCAAACATCAAAGATAAAAACAACGATGCTGCAGTTTTATGTTGGGTGCTTCCTTACGGTACACAGTCCTTTGATTTATGTTTGTAAATTGTGACTTAATAAATTAATGCGACTTTTTTATTGGTCAATAAGATAGAAATGAGAGGAATGCTGTTGAACGTTGTGCATCGTCAAGTCCAAAAAGCTAACAAAAACTTATTAAAGAATTCTAATGGCCTCCATAACCATTCCACTTTATTATCTATGCATTTAATGAAAACTGATAAGTTGTCACTAATAAACAGAAAAACTAGCAGAAAACAGAAAAACTAACAAGTTAAAATTAATAGTATCACTGACAGGGTATTTGTTACTTGGTAATAGTATCACTGATGGGTATTCGTTTCTCATGAATGTACAGAAATAACTATGAACACTTGCATAAATGATTTGGTACTTTTACAAGGATTTAGTGCTAATGCAGTCCCGCATATTTAGTTATCACAAGCCATGACCACTTTCATAATTCAAATGAACAGCATCGTTAATGACACAATCTACTCCAGTTATGTCCCGCCCTCCCATCCCTGACGTTTTATGTCACTGTTACTGTTACCCAACCAATCACTCACCCACCCACCCACTCTTAGTCATCTCAGTCACCCAACTACCCTACATTCATCTACCTAGTCACAGACACAACCACTCCGTCCCCCCCCCCTTCGCCCCACAAACCCACTTACTCACACATTCTGGTGAGACTCGCCATCACCCACTGATTAACTTCAAGTTAATCAGTTAATCAGTTACACTCACCCACCTACCTACTTCTGCTTTACCAAATACGTTGTTGTTGGTATTTACCTGGGCTAAATGGACAATTTTAAAATCTATGATTATGATAAGTTCATGCGTGGTTTGCCTTATCGTAATCGGTCAGAGGGAGTTTGTTTTACGACTCTTACTGTAAAGCATTTGTTGCAGATCGTATTTCCAAATGGTTCTATCGATCCATGGCATGCACTTGGAATAGTGAAGAATGTGTCTTCCACAGAACAAGCCATCTTCATTGAAGGTAATTTTCGAGATATACAATATATAACAAAAAACCTTTTTAATTAGCAGAGAATATGACAGGAAGTCAGGGTGGAAATTCTATAGTTATGAAGCAAGTAAATTCTTAAGTGAAGAAGACTTAAATTCTCTCGAGTGATGTTTAGTGTTCTAGTCATGTCAACGTATTCCATTTTAGTCCTGTTTGAGGAATTTGGGTCTCTTCAAATCTTCGAAATACACGCCTTATCATCTTTAGTGTCTCTAATTTTACTAATTCATATTTCAAATGGCAAATATCTGGGTCAAGCAGCACTTAGGCGTTATTTTCCGCTATAAGTTGTCGATTCCGAGCAAGTCATTGTTCACTCCAAAAAGGAAAGAGTTTGAGCTTCTCAACAATTTGCATACTCAGCACAGATGGAAGTACTATACAACAGTGCTAACGTTTCCTCTACAAGATAAATTTGTTGGCAGGGCTTAGAAGACTTTTCCCCATTTGTTCGAAAACTAAGCTGTTACGATTCTTAAATCGCAGAAAGAACCTTTTTTTTTTTCAATGTATCTACCGTTACTCTGAATTCTATTGTGCCCTTCTTACACTACTTCCAGTCCTTTTATCACCCTTTTACCTACCTAACTACCTATCGACTCCCTCCTTTTCTACCAGCCTAGCGATTTACCTACCCACCTACGTACCTATTTATAAGTCCTAAAGAACAATTTAGCTGTTAATTAACTTCCTTAGGAATCCCACGTGTACCTAGCCCTTATTTGCATGTTTTGTTTAAATCGCCTTCTAGCATTTTCAGTTCAGTTTCATTTCAACATTGTTTCTTCAAGAGCACTTAGTGGTAGTTTTTCTGTCGGACTAGCTCTTTTGCGGTCAGACGTTTGGCGTTGTCCTTTCGTTTGCTGTATTTCTTTTGCGCTCGAAGTATTTCTGAAGTTTTATTTTCACCTTGTATTTCAGTTTAAACCACACCAAATACAACACATTACGGTACATTACATCTAATGTCAGTCGAGTCTATTGCGTCTATGACTTACCATCTCCCCTATCACTGTAACCTTGAGTACTCAAATCGTATTACAGTTGTGCGTCTATTTTTAGTGCTGAGCAGCAAAAGAACTCGCCTTATGGCAGTTACACTAGTGACTTACACTCTGTGACTGTTTATTAACGAAATTCATTTCAGCAATACATTAATCATATAAATTAAACATCCCGTGCGAAACAAAATAATTACAAACTTGTGTTTATTTAGGTACCGCTCATTGTGCAAATATGTACCCGGCGAGACCATCAGACCCACCACAGTTAGTAGAGGCACGGCAACGAATTCAGGAACACATCAAAATGTGGCTAACCGGAGACTCCTCCATCGCCAGCTGATTGTATTTATCAAGGTTTTTCTCTTTTTTGTGATACGGTCTGAAGGCCAACGGCTTTCAATAAAAATTTTATTCATTTCAGTGGCGGATAATGACCTTCAGATAGGGGGTGGGGGTGGTCATCCAGATCCTGGGATAAGGGGGCCCCCCCTCCCCTGGATCCCCCACCTCCTTTTATAAAGAAATTCATAGCTTGAGTTTTTGCAATTTTGTCCTCGCGAGAGATTAAAGACGTTCAAGGTTATTATTACGTTTGAGAATTGTTTATATTTTTACATTTTTTTTAAAGCCGAATCGCCCGATACCGCTCATGTGTAACCACGTTTCGCGTTTTAGCGTTTCCCCGAAAACGCTCCCCAGTAGCGAAGTTTGGTAAAAGCCCGCAAAAGGAAAACCTGGGGGAAAGAAGCGAAAATAACGGGGGGAGAAGACATGAAGTGGTCTTGCGTGTCCGAACCCAAACAGCTGTATTTCTCATCACGACGAAAGAAAGCGAATGTAGTTTCCGAATTCGAAACAAAGGTTTGGATAGTTTTGTTTGTTTGTTTGTTTGTTCATTTCGTCGAAGTGATATCCAGTAAACTTTAACTTCGAACAGCAAAACGTGCAATGGGCGAATGGGCTACGTGAAAAATTAAGAAAGGATTTTTTTGCAGCTTAGTTACAGTTGTGTTATAGTGCAATTTATATTTTTTCAGTTTTAGGAATTATGATGTATGATAATGAGATTAAACAAAGAAAAAAAAGAGGAAATAATAAACTGAACGGTAACAATTATACACCGAGAAAATGAGATAATAGGCCATTTGCACTAAGAGGCATGTGACATCGTTTTTATGAAAATGAAAGTTGTATGATTTTGCATTCGAAAAACGATTAGTGGGTCATATCAGAAACTCATAAGGGGTTGAAACGTGTAACTCTCATATGTTTGCTTTGTCCGATGCTCGTGATTATTCATTTTCCAAAGTACCATATTTGGAACGTGAAGAAGAGATAACTGACCAATCAAATTTCGTAAACAACGTGACGTAATTTTCCTTCAGGTTCCCGCGCCCGCTTAAAAAAATGGATCGACAAACGGGGGAAAAACTCCCGAAAGCCGAGAAAGCTTTCAAAGGTTGAAACCAGGAATATTACCGAAACACTGAGCAGGATATTATTGCCTTACCACCCGGGCCAAACGTAACATTATGAAACCCATTGACGGCCTCGCAACTTCTTGAAGTTGTCACTTCAAAAAGCGATGCCTCGTTGACCCTCTGCACAGTAAACTCATACTGCAAATAGGCTTTTAAAATTCTTATTTTAAAAGTCTAGAATAAACAGTGAAAAATATTTTCGAATAAAATTCATTAGCTGCGTATCGAAAAGTGTCCAAAACCTGAACCTGACATCTTCGCAAAAGTGATGCTTGTAATGAATGTGAGAAGCATTTTAAAAGCTTAAATTAAACTTAGATGTTGTAGTCACGATCGTGTTTTGAGCTAATTTTATGAATGAATGAACAAACTCAAAACAATAGACAGAGAAGCCGTTTCTTGAAAATTTTTATTCAAAGTCCAAAAAGTTAATCCTTTAAAGCAATTCGCAAAACACTATCTGGATCGTGGATCCGTTCACGCAAGTGAAATCGGCTAAGCACATGGCAAAATTCAGCTCAAAATCCACCTCAAATCAGGGCACATGTTGTAATTTTTCTTTAGCGCCGAAGAGAAAAATTTATAAAACGTCTATGAAACATTTAAAAATACATCAATTCCCTTTCAAAAACGTAATTGTCTTGGCCATAGAGTGCAAAATGTACCTGAAAATTCAGCAAAAACTTCGCTGACTTGGTTGCATTTCAAAACAGACCATGGGCTCCGCCGCCGTGAAGAAAACCTCGAAGGACGATTTCTTGATGAATAGCTTCCCTTTCTCCACAAAAAGGAAGCTGAGCATTCTTTTGAACTTTCTCTTTCCATTTTTTGTCTTTTAACGGTGTATTTTTAACCTTGAAATGCAGAACTCTTGTCTTAAAACATCTGCATGGTGATCGCGCAGCAGCCATTTTGTTAAAAATGGATATCCGTCCCTACGGTTTCCAAATATGGTCAAAACGAATATTCACGAGCATTGAACGCGAGTTACACGTTTCAACCCCTTATGGGTTTCTGGTCATATCTTAAACAAAATAATAGTGATGTGGTTTTTCAAACCCGCACCATTTTCTTAAAATGAATAAGTTCGTAAATGGTCACGTGACCAAAATGAGATTTTTAAAATTATGAATTACCTCTCTCTGAACACAAATTTTGCTCTTAAACTTCAAGGAAATGTTGAAAACATGATGTGCTAACTTTTACAGCACATCTGAGCTTAACTATGAAACGTTGAACAAGATATAAGCAAGAAGTAGTTTTGGCCGCCATGTTGGAGGGCAAGAGCATGCCCTCCAACATGGCGGCCAATACAAATCATACTACTTTGCTGAAAAGTCAAAGTGCCGTAAAATATCTCCCTTAAATGCGTTTCCTCTCAAATTTCGGGGGTAAGATAATTTTGGTGTGTTCTAACAATTTTTGGCATCAGCAAGATTCCAACTCATTGTTTAACGGAAGCATTGGTCACGTGACCTCTTAGTGCAAGTGGCCTATTTGATATGTCTAGGTAAAGCGAACACCGGAGCTCCGATTTCTCTCAGAAGAAACAAGTACCACCGTTAAAACACATAAAACTAATTCCATATTTTTCTTCAATAACTCAAACATATGATGACGAAATGACAAATAGTGAGCGAAAAGAATTCGCCGATAATTTGAACCGCTAATGTAAATTAACATAATTTTCTTACACATTTTTGGTTATCGAAGATTGCTCAAATAACGAGTTTGAAAGTCAAAAAGGGAAAAAATACGCCAAGAAGTGGATGAGAAAAGGGAGAAAATAAATAAATGGCACAGAGATAATATAGTCGTAGAATGTTGTTGCCTCGTACAGGCTAGGTTGTTAATAAAATATAAAGGACACAGAAATCACTCAGAAAAAAGAGTTATGCAAATAATCGTATGTTTTTCTAACAAAACTTTGATATTACATTGTGAATGGATCAGTCTACGCGAGAAAACATTTATTATTTCTACTTTTCTTCCATGTGTATTCTTAAAGGGCATATCATTAATCCTTACAAAGCGAAACTATTCTCTTGGAAACCTTAACACTATGAGCGCGACAGTCAGTTTGTCTAAATTGAATGATTTTTTACTTTACTCCCTGGGTTAAAACCTAGTTCAAACCAGAAACGTTTCCCCTAATACTACGACAGGGCAGAAAGTCATGAAGTACCTGAATTACTTGTATCGATGTCTCCTGAAACCTGTCATGAAATACTTCTTTTCTTCTCTCTGCTGGCCAAACCCTTTGGCAGCCTGTACTTTTTCACTCTCATATCGCTCGCTTCTTTTCAAAGCTAAGTATTCTTAGATTGGAGAATACCAGAGGCAACATAAACGGCAAATTTCCCAACCAAGAAAAAAGATCAAAGGTTAAGCGACAGCAAAAAAAAACAATGTTAAAAAGGTTGCTACAATTAACTAAATCTTGCTAATGTACCACCTGGACGTATAAATGACAACAGCGATTTGGCGGTACGGATATTTGGTAATGTACTGTTATAAAATCAAACAAGGTAAAAACCGAGTCAAATGAAAAGGCCGGCAAACCGGATGAAAGCTTTAAAAGCAAGGTACTCATCTGTCGTACAAGCAGTACCTACAATTTTGCCGTCGTTTTTATATTACTCTTCCGCGTGGGGTTGCCAGGTTAAAGGAAATAAAGATATTCGCCAAATTGAATATACTTATGTTAATATCTTTGACGAAATGGCAAATAATGAGTGAAGGGAATTTGCCTTTTCTTTTTTTTTATTTCATCTATTTTTTTTAAATCAGATTATTCGATTTCATCGCTAGTTTTGGGGTATCGAAATTAGCGCAGGAAACAGTCCGTAGATGAAACTGAAAGAAATACATTGATTTGTTATATGAATGAAGGGCTTAACCCTTATCTTGAAAAATTTCAGGTATTATCCACCCTTCAGGATCGTCCTCTCGCGGATCGCGCCTGTATCAGTGAAACTGTAAAGAACACTCGAGATGGCCAGATTTCTTGCGCGCTTGACCCCTTTCGCAGGTTTAGGGAAAGTACCATGAACAAAGTTCCACTTCGGATCATACGTTTAACTTTTTTCCTGTTGTGTCAACAAATTTGTTTCTTTATGAACGTTGCCGGTTAATCTCCTTCATTCTGGGATGTTACCTTCTCTTTTCAGTTAATTTCCTTATCCAGTAGTCGTTTTCTGTAACTTAAAGTCGTGTTAATTTCCAATACCTTAATTTTATGGAGCGTTAATTTCCTATAATAAGGAATTTGACAGTAAGATGGCCAAATTTCAGCCAGATTGGTTCACGGGTTACCGATTTTTCGCTAAATATGTGCATGTACGCTCAACTTAGCCCGATTTTCATTTGGAGAAAAAAGAAAAATGATATATTTTTTGCGGCGTCTTTCCCGCAACAAAAGAAATCTTTTTTGCCCCACAAGCCCAAGTCTGAGCTGTTCAAATTATTATTTTTTTTTTGCCAGAATTTTCTTTTTAGTGGAACTCCACGCGCGCGAAGGGGAGTACAATGGGTAAGAAAATTTGTAATCTACCCATCCGAGAAATTTTGGTAATCACGTGGCCGTCACCCGACCTACCGTCCATCCGCACCACAGGCATACCAATGTAAAATAACTCAACCAACAGGTATGAGACAAGATTACTCCTGGAGCGTGACCAAAAACGTGACCAGGTACATCCTTAAAACTGTATAGATTATCATAGTTCTTTTGTCGTAAATCAAACAAACGAAATTCAAGATCTTCACTGGAAAAACTCCATTGGCTGCCTCTCGGTGAACTGGTTAACGTTTCGCCAAGAAACTGAAACGGCTTTCGTTACTTTTACGGGACCGTTGC